CCAACTCCCCTGCAATGAACAGAGACACCTACAGCTAGATCAGGTTGCTTAGAGACTGGTCTGACCTAACCTGGAATGTCTCCAGGGATGGGGCATCCACCACATCTCCAGGCAACTCGTTCCAGTGCTTCTGTAAGTGCACTCTGAAGTGCAGCAGGAAGGACATAGGAGTCATAGGTTAATACCTATGGTGGGGGTAAAATGAGCACCAGACGCAAGACTAGCATTTATAATCATATGACATCTAAACTGTGTTTTTGTTTGCACATGCTGCTAAACAAATGTGGATATTTCATTCACTTATGCCCCAGAAGTCTCTCCAGGATTTTTGAAGCAGTGGAGCCCTAGGAACCCCTTTACACTCTTTATGTAAAATTTAGGTTTACCGATGGTCACACTGCCTTGGAATATTTTTCATGGGTGCATTACAAGAAGCTGCTGATGTTAAAATGAAAACCTCCATGAAACAAAAGCATGACTTGCATCACATATCATTTTGGGGAGATGCAATGTAATATTTAAATAGTACTGAATGATAAAAAAACATTTGGATTTGCTTTTTTACTGCTTTTTTTTTCTTCTATTTCTGTTCTTAGCTCACAATGGCTAAAATACAGCAAAACCAAAGTAAATATTAAGTAAATAATATTTAATGCTAGGGGTGGAGCTGGCACATTAGCGTCACGGCTTAAACACCTGCCCTTAACCTTCACACTTGATAATAAGCTTTAAATAGCTTCGGGGAGGGTGGAAGCTAGCACAAAACACAACAGGTGAGAAACCATTGTTTCTGCTCACTGAGAAAGGGAAGATTCAGTGAGTGAGCACAGCCCACACTTCCCATAGGGTGCTACATCTGTTCGTGTGGGTCTAGTTCATGTGAGAATTCTAAGCTTTGGTCCCTCCTTGTTCAGGAGACTGGCTTTCCTTGGCAGTCTCTGAGACCAAAGGCCGAAACATGGTCTCCACTAGACAGCGGGCTTATTCTAAGAAGACCGTGGCAACCCAGACGGACAGCTTGCCGAGAAATGTCGCTGTTCAGGTCTCTGGCTGCAGGGAGTGCTTGAGCCTGCTGCTGCCCAGGGAGAGTAGCAGGGACCACCACCTCTGTGAGGTGTGAGCAGGTAGACGAGCTGCTCAGCCAGGTGGTGGAACTCAAGGATGAGATGCAGAGACTTAGGACCATCAGGGAGTGTGAGCGGGAGATTGACTGGTGGAGCGACTCGCTGTCTTGCCAGAGAGAAGGATTCCGGGAAAATACCCCCAAAAAGGACAGACCTGACTGATGAGGAAGGTTGGAAGAGAGTCCCAGCTTGGTGTCACAGGAGACACCCCTGCCTGCCTAGCCCGCTTCCCCAGCTTCCTCTAAGCAACAGGTTCCAGTTGCTGGAAGTTGAAGGGGAGGTGAGTGGAGAGGTAATGGAGGATCTGCCTAGGAAAGAGCCTAGGGCAAGGCGGTCACCCCCACGCCCTGAGACTGCCTCCGACAGGAAAGAAAGAAGGGTGGTTGTGGTGGGTGACTCCCTTCTCAGTGGAACAGAGGGCCCCATATGCAGACCTGACCCAGGCCATCAGGATGTGTGCTGCCTTCCTGGGGCTCGGGTCAGGGACATAACCAGGAAACTCCCTAAGCTGGTTAGGTCATCTGACTACTTTCCATTACTTGCAGTTCAGGTGGGCAGTGATGAAATTGGTCAGACAAGTCTACAAACTATGAAAAAAGATTACAGGGGTTTAGGGCGTTTAGTTCAAGGAGTGGGAGCTCAAGTGATCTTCTGCTCTATACCTTCAGGGGGGGCAGTAAGGGATACCAAGCAGGATCAGAAAGCACGAGCAATGAATAATTGGCTCAGAGGCTGGTGTTGAGCCAGAAACTTTGGGTTCTTTGATCATGAGGCAGTTTACTCGGTCCCTGGCCTGGTGTCTGTTCATGGAACCCACCTATCTCAAAGGGGGCAACAAATACTAGCGCAGGACTAGCAGGGCTTATTGAAAGAACTTTAAATTAGCTACGAAGGGTGAAGGGGACAAAAGAGGTCTCACAAGAGATAAGCTTAGGAAATGATGCGTAAGCTGGGGGTGAGGCAGATGACTTGACTGAAGTGCATCCATACCAATGCATGCAGCATGAGTAACAAGCAGGAAGAGTTGGAAGTGATTGTGAGTCAGGCTAATTATGACCTTGTTGCTATTACCAAAACGTGGTGGGACCACTCCCATGATTGGAGTGCTGTGATAGACAGCTACAAGCTCTTCAGAAGGAGTAGACAAGAAAAGAAGGGTAGTGGTGTGGCCCTTTATATCAAAGTCTGTTTTGATGTTGAAGAGCTTGGGGTTCGTAATGGCAGAGTTGAGTGTCTATGGGTAAGGATCAGGGGGAAGGCCTCATAGGGGAGATATCTTGGTGGGGGTCTGTTATAGACCGCCTAACCAGGATGAAGAGTTGGATGAAACATTTTATGAGCAGTTCGTTAAGTCATGCATTCGCCAGCACTTGTTCTCATGGGAGACTTCAACTTCCCTGATATATGTTGGAAGTATAATACAGCATAGAGGAAGCAGTCCAGGAGGTTTCTAGACTGCGTGGAAGATAGCTTCCTTATGCAACTGGTAGGAGAGCCTACCAGGGGTGGTGCCCTACTAGACCTGGTCTTTGCTAACAGAGAAGGACTGGTGGGAGAAGTGAAGGTTGGGGACCATCTTGGGCAGAGTGACCATGGAATTGTAGAATTCTCTATTCTTGGGGGTGTCAAAAGAGTCACCAGCAAAACTACTTTGTTGAACTTCTAGAGGGTGGTCTTTGATCTGTTCAGGGCGCTTGTAGCACGGGTCCCCTGGGAGTCACTTCTTAAGGGTAAAGGGGTCCAGGAAGCCTGGACGCTCCTCAAGATAGAAATCTTAAAGGCACAAGAACAGGCTGTCCCTGAGAGCTGTAAGGTGAGCCGTAAGCTCAGACGACCGGTGTGGATGAGCCGGGAACTACTGTTGAGACTCAGGGAGAAAAAGAGAGTCTACATCCTCTCGAAGAAGGGACAGGCTAGTTGGGGAGATTACAAGGAAGTAGCTAAGGTATGCAGGGAGGAAGTTAGGAAGGCAAAAGCCCAACTTGAACTCAGATTGGCCACTGCAGTAAAAGACAATAAAAATTCCTTTTGTAAATATATCAACTGCAAAAGAAGAACCAAGGATAATTTTCATCCTATACTTGATGCAGCAGGGAATGTGGCCACTGAGGACAAGGAGAAGGCTGAGGTCCTCAATGCTTTCTTTACATCTGCCTTTAATAGCCAGACCGTTATCCTCTGGGCATTTTATGCCCTGATCTGGAAGTCTGGGACACTACTCAGAATATATCCCCAGCGATTCAGGTGGAGACAGTCAGAGAGTTCCTGCTCCACCTGGATTGTCACAAGTCCATGGGACCAGATGGCCTACACCCTCGGGTGCTGAGGGAGCTGGCAGCAGTGATTGCCAAGCCACTCTCAGCCATCTATCAGTGCTCCTGGTTAACTGGAGAGGTCCCAGAGGATTGGAGGCTTGCTGATGTGACTCCCATCTTCAAGAAGGGCCATAAGGAGGATCCGGGGAACTATAGGCCTGTTAGCCTGACCTTGGTACCGGGCAAAGTAATGGAGCAAATTATCTTGGGTGAGATTACACAGCACGTTCGTGGTGTCCAGGGGATCAGGCTCAGCCAGCACGGGTTCATGAAAGGCAGCTTGTGCTTGACCAACCTCATCTCCTTCTATGACTGGGTGACAAGACTGGTAGATGAGGGAAGGGCTGTTGATGTAGTCTACCTAGACTTCAGCAAAGCCTTTGACATGGTCTCTCACAAGCTTCTTCTGGGGAAACTGGCTGCCCATGGCTGGATAGGTATACACTCCTTTGGGTAAGAAACTGGCTAGAGGGCCATGCCCAATGGGTAGTGGTTAATGGAGTGAAGTCCAGCTGGCGACCTGTTTCAAGTGGTGTCCCCCAGGGGTCAGTACTGGGGCCTATCTTGTTTAATATCTTTATTGATGACCTAGAAGAGGGAATTGAGTGTACCCTCAGTAAGTTTGCAGATGATGCCAAGTTGAGAGGTGGTGTGGATCTGCCTGAGGGTAGGGAGGCCCTTCAGAGGGATTTAGATAAACTGGATCACTGGGCTGAGGTGAATGGGATGAGGTTCAACAAGGCCAAGTGCTGGGTCCTGCACTTTGGCCACAACAACCCCATGCAGCGTTATAGGCTTGGGGATGAGTGGCTGGATGACTGTGAAGAGGAAAGGGACCTGGGGGTGCTGGTTGATGCTTATCTGAACATGAGACAACAGTGTGCTCAGGTTGCCAAAAGAGCCAACGACATCTTGGCCTGCATTAGAAATAGTGTGGCCAGCAGGAGCAGGGAGGTAATCATCCCCCTGTACTCAGCACTGGTGAGGCTGCACCTCGAGTATTGTGTTCAGTTTTGGGCCTCTCACTACAAGAAAGACATTGAGGCCCTGGAGCGTGTCCAGAGAAGGGCAACCAAACTGGTGAGGGGTCTGGAGCACAAGTCCTATGAGGAGCAGCTGAGGGAGCTGCAATTGTTTAGTCTGGAGAAGAGGAGGCTCAGGGGAGACCTCACTGCACTCTACAACTTCCTGAGGGGAGGTTGTGGTGAAGAGGGCTTTGGCCTCTTCTCCCAAGCAATGAACAGGACCCAGGGAAATGGCAGCAAGTTGTATCAGAGAAGGTTTAGGTTAGACATGAGGAAGAACTTTTTCTCTCAGGGAGTGGTCAGGCACTGGAATGGCCTGCCAAGGGAGGTGGTGGAGTCGCCGTCCCTAGCAGTGTTCAAGAGGCGTCTGGATGAGGAGCTGTGAGATACTGTCTAGTAGCTTGTGGTAGCAGTGGTAATGTGAAGATGGTTGGACTAGATGATCTTACAGGTCGTTTCCAACCTTGTGTTTCTATGATTCTATGATTCTAAAGAATATTACTTATGAGAATGTAGGTACAGGACTATGATTCTATACAGAAATTCTCATCAAGTCAAAGGTGCAGGTCTTCAGTGTTGGTATGACTAAGAGACCTCTGAAGTTCATTTTTCTGGCTACCTGAGTAAAGAAAGGTGCTTTCAGGAGAGTCAGATGGCTGTCAGCATCAAGGACAGAGCTGGGACTGCCATTCTTGCAGCATGCATACACACTCAGTGGTGCACAGAGCTCTGTCCTGACTGATCTACAGAGCCCATGTGCTACATCCTATGACCAAGGTCACCTTCACTAGAGTGCTGTGTACTTAACATCTGAATGTACACACTAGAATTTGGCACATGGCTGTGATCCATGCTGGGGAAAACTCCTTTTACACAAGTGACTGCCAACCCTTGACTATCAGTTCCTAAATATTAGCTAGCTGTTTACAAATACCTGGCTACCAGGAAACAACCACTTTGATGCGCAAAGGTTTTATCCATAGGACCTAGCAGCTATCTGAATGGAGGAACTAATGTGCATCTTCCTCTGGGAGGGAAAATATGACAGCTGTGATGAACCTGCTGCACTACTGTCAGCATCAAGATCACTATGTCAATAGCCACAGCAACTGAGGACTTCCCGAGGACCATCTCTGGGACCTGTGGTCCTCAAGACCCCATCCAGCCAGACCTAGTATGGTTCTGCCTACTTCTACAGATATCTCGCCCTCTGGGACCATAAGCGCCTTAAGGCACAGGTGCTGAAGAGCACCTTCAGGCGAGGTGCTGAAGAGCAGCAGCTAGTGAGCACCCTGCAGATCTCTGCCTCGGTACCCTGTCAGCAGGGTAGGCGAAAGTGCACTATCGAGTTCTTTGCCAGCGAAGCACCACGCGGGGTGGTAGCCGCCCGCTACTGCCCGCTTCCGTCGGGGGCGCCGCTGGGTTCGCGCCGCCAGGACCCGCAGAGGGGAGGCAACGGCCGTGGTTGCGCCACCGTCGCCCCTCACTGTAGGCGCTGAGCAGGCCCTTGTTCACCAACACTATGAAGAAGGAGTAGAAAATGGCCGAAAGCACCCTGGGTAGCGCCAAGGAGGCTCGCCCCGGCCGCTCATCTCGGGCGGGGACGGCGGCGGGCGAGGCGCCGCCCGGCCAACACACGGGCAACCGCCGCGACACGACCCGGCAGGAAGGCCTGCACCGCGCCCCCTGGTGGCGCGAAGCGGGTAGGGCGGCCGGAACGGATGAGGCGCCGAGCTCTGCCCGCTCAGCTCGCGGGGCGGCGGGTCCCCTCGCTCCCTAGTGCGACAAAGGGCGCCCGTGCCGTCACTTCAGCAAAGTACTGCTCGTGAAAGCGCGATACCCGCTTCCTTAAGCCATCTCCTCAAGGAAGAGTTCTCTACGAACACATGCGAATTCCAGCGAATTAGTCGCTGGGAGCTGCCTCAACACAATTGACCTGGGCTTTATTTTCAAAAATTCTCCATATTTTGTCAAGTGTGAGGGAGTGGAAGACAGGACAAGTAGTAGGGATGGAAGGGGCTCAGGACGTGCTCCAGGTGGTGAACGTGTGTAAAATTTCAACAATCAGGAGAAATAACCACCTCTGTTCTGTGACATGTCAGGCTGGTAGTAGAGAAGGGAGAATAGAAAACAGCACGCACATTGACTAAACTTGAAAATTGAACCAAACTTTTATTCAAAGCAAGTACTGAAGTGACAACACATTCACTGTTTTGTTGTTAACTCATGCCAAACAGTAATCTTCAAGATTTCTTCAGTGTAATCACTTCTTAATATATAAAGCAACCTTCCACATCTCAATTTTTTTAACTTGATATTTTAACAGTAACTTGTCACAATACAAAACACAAAATGTCTGAATTTAGTCTAAGCATCTAAGTAGAATTCAGCATACTTATACTGAAAGAAATACTTTTCAAGTTGACCAAAGCACTACAGCTGACCGGAGGGAAAAAAAAGAAGTCATCTATTGAAGCTTTGACTTCATTCTGCAGCTGGCTGGCAGTCACAACAATTGGATGTCCTGTGAAATAGTAGAAGCAATTCTGAGTTACAAATCAGAAAAAACAGTTTCACGCTGAGGGCTCATTTGGGATCGGGCTGTTTGCAAACTGAACAGTTAATATCATATTATTTGAAGAATTAAAAATCTGTACCCTGAGTTACCCAATTTACATAGGCTCAGGCACCAGGAATGAGTATGAATAGTTACATATTTTTAAGCTCAAAATACTTAAATGAGCCTGATGACAGCTGAGTTTAGGAATTGAAAACATAAATTAAACCATATAACTAGTACAAAACTAATTACATTCCATACACTCTTTTTTTTTTAAATATCCAATGACTTTTTAAGTCAAGTGAATCAAAACATAATGATAAACAAACTAGGTTAATAGGATTTTCTACCACAAAAGATTAACAAAGACCATAATTCTACAGTCACAGTTTTCTGATGTAAAAAGAAACTACTGTTCTGGAAAAATCAGTAGGCATCTAGTCAGTTTGTTTCTAGTGCTTGGTAAATTTTTCCTCTCATTTAAACAAGAGGGAAAGTGGCTTCCCTTCTCATCTGAATTTTCTGACCTTCAGAGGGAAGGGAGAATTAAGAGCAAGCAGGACAATAAATGTTTAATATCCCCTAAAGCAGTAGCTCAACTGCAAAAAAGAAAAAACAAGTTCACTTTCAAAACAACTGTTAGCATATCATGATTCTCCGGTTGTCTTCCAAGCAAAATACAGAAAAAATACCATGACACAATGGTATTCCCAAGTATACAACATTCAACAAGTAACAAAATATTTCACTAAACATTTTATATCAGCGTTTGAGTTTACCAAGCAGCGTTCTGTAACTTCATTTATTTGGGAAATATATGAAATCACACTGTTAACACACTTGTAACTATCTTTGGAAGCCTATTTTCTAGTTGTATAGTGAATATTTTTCTGCAATGTTGCAGAAACTGATAGCTGTGCTAAAGTTAGTGAACACAAAATTGGCATGTTATCTTTAAGTAAAGCATTAAGGTGGCTTTATGCACAAAAGTACAGGGGTTCTATGTGCTAATAAACATGTAAAAGCAAGACTTTAAAACTTAGTGTTTGCTAATAAGAGATCTAAAATAGTTTACTACAACCACAACACCCTGTAGATACCCCTTATTAACAAAAACAAGTGCCAAATCATTACAGGGTCCAAAGACATCTGAAAAAATATCACCAATTTTTTACCTTTGTCTAGAATTTGCAAGACTAATCATTTTCAGATAAAACCAACAATGTGCAAAAGCTCCTAACATCGTGGGTCAGGAATAACAAGTGCTACTAAGAGATTCTGCTGAGATCAAATCAGAAAATGTAAAATAACAAAGTCAAGCCTCATACTTTGAGCAGTCACAGCGAAGACTGTGACTACGGTTTATCTGCATGAAGCAGTTTCTTCCCCTCTACAAGTCACCATAACTAAGCTTTGCCTTCTACCTCAGTGACACAAGATAAAAAAAACGCACTGACATTAGAAAAATATTTTTCATTGGTGCTTACAGTATCTTCAGACCTATCACTTAATATAAATTTGCTTAAATAGTTCAGATAAATACTTTTCTTTTTGTCAGCCTTCTTTGGCCACATGTACCATACCATCCTGCTAATCATAAACGCTGTTCAAAAAGTGCTTCCTGTGAAAACTGCTTCAAATGAGTTAACCTTGCAAAAATCTAGCTTCCCACATGAACTTTGTTAACCCTGCATTATGCAGTCCCCTATTTACAAAAATACTTAGAAACTTTACAACTATCTTTAACCTTACAAAAAGTGCAATTCTCCTACCCCATGTTATGGAGCAACAACATTCTTCATAAATTCTACAGAATAGCAGCCTATAACAAGCAAATAAGGTGCTTAGCTTATGTCCAGGATCTAACTGGTTAAGTGCCACCAGGAAATATATTTTGTATAGGCAAATTCCATATGTATCTACTGTCGTGTGGGTGCCACAGCTAGGTTTGCAAGCTCAATTAGAGCCAAAGCACCATGCATTCGTTCGCGCTGTTCCTGGAGGCGGCGGCGAGCAGCTGAGTGAGCACTATTTTTCTCTTCATCATCTTCTTCATCAGACTGAAGATATTCCATTGGGTCCTGCTGTTCCTGATCAGTCTTCTCGACTGTTTTACTTTTCAAAGCAGGAGAACGCTGTTCTCTAGTCTCCCAGTACCTACAAAGTGAAACATGAGGAATGCTTTTTAAAATATGTTTAGCACATGCAACAACCATTCAAAACTGGCAAAACACTTTTTATTTATTTATTTTTTTACCTTGTATATGACCGAGCATTGCATTTAGTTTTATCTTTCAGATCTTATAATGGTAGTATTTAAGATGTCAGAAACGTTTATTAAACTTTTTCAGTGTGAAGTACCCAAACAACATCTGCGATATATCATGCTGTCACATGGTATTCTCAGCAGACTACTCATGCATACCCTATTCTTGATCCTCATATAGATGCAAATTCAGTAGGAAGACTATAGCCACTAACTAGGCCAGGTATTAGCACGCGTTCAATCAAAGAAACAACAGAGAAAGAACAAAAGTCTTGTGAGGAATCTTGTCTTAAACTACATACGGTGTTAGAGGCAAGGCTAGACTGAATAACACTAGAGGCATACCAGTTCTGGTTTGTTCTTTGTTAGTTGGTTTTTTGGGAGGGTTTTTTTGTGCATGTGTGTTTGGGTAGGTTTTTTTTGCCCCTCAGAATAGAGTGCTTTCTCCAGCCACTTTTATGGCAGTGCTTTCTCCAGCCACTTTTATGGCAGAAACTTACTTTGCTAGCCACTCAGCCACAGCTTTGTTATCAGCCGTCTGTTTTTTAGTCAGTCTGTCAGTGAGCTCTTCCCTCCTCAGCCGGGCATATGGATGTTTGGGGCAGTGGCGGTTTGCATGTGTGAATCGGCTCAAACAGCCTTAAAAAACAAAATGACAATGAAAAGCATGTTACAGAAAGCCACCAAGTAAGCATAGTATCTATACAATACATATCTTGCTGAATCCAGCCTTCTTCACTATACAAAAAGCAAGGTTTAGTAACCTTTATATGCAAGACTAATAACATTCCCAATCATTTCATATTTTATTATCAACTGACAACAGTATTGGCAACTTATATAACAACACGGGCAATTTTTAGATACAAGTTTGCATCGTTACGCAGATTATTCTAGCTCCTCTCTTCCCTCGAATCTCCTCCAAAGTTAAGATCCAAACCTTTGATAGACTGCTGCAATAAGAATGCACATACATTTTTAGTACTAGATGGCCCTTGATTCTGAAAGCCACAAGTTATTATTTGATGGCTCACCATTCTCTGAGCAGACAAAAGGTTTCTCCCCTGTGTGGAGACGCTGGTGAGTTTTGAGCTGCCCACTCTGAACAAAAGCTTTCCCGCAATCTGGATAGTCACACAAATAAGGTCTTTCACCTTAAAAATAGCAATAGAACAGATTTGTGAAAGCTGAATAAAAAAGCAGAGACAAGCTGAATAGAAAAGCAGAGTCACAGTACAGTGATCACCTTCAGCTTGAGGTTCATACATGCAAACTCTCCATTAACACACTCAGACACTAGCATGTACTCAAAAAGCCTCAGTGTAGCAGACAGCAGAGCTCAGCTTTTACCTCCAGATATTCAGTGTTGCTGGATAATACCTTTCCCCCCAACCCCAAGGGAAACACTGAAATGACTTAGTGTTGGGTTTTTTTGTTCGTTTGTTTTTAACTTAAGCTTCTTACACAGCATTACATAAGCTTTGTCCTGTGAAAATGTGCCTACAGAGCAAGAAACATAAAAAGTAAAACCAATAAATAGATAAGAAATGTAATTCAAGTTGTAACCACAGATGTATTATCATTAACGTGGACTTAACGAGAGTAAAGTAACAATGGTTATGAATATAGCAATATAAGAAGTTGCAGAAGTATCTTACTATTGAGTTTAAGTAGACTGCTTGAAAAAAGTTTTAATGGCAAAGCAAAGGTAACATGAAAAACTTAATCCAGCTACAGAAGTTTTCAACCATCTATTAAAAATGACTTCTCCATGCAAACTGCAATGAAAAGAACTGAGATAAATAACAGGCATCTTCTTCCTGCCTGAAGAGAATCTGATTGCATTCTACTATGCAAAGAAGCCCCATGCCAGCACTGCTCAGAAAGGATGACAAAACAAAGGTAACAATGACTTATTAAGTCAAAAGAGTAACACCATGGTAAGTTCAGCTCAATTAAGTCATTCATATTTAACAAACAAGTTCAATAACTAATTCCAGCACATGAAATGAAAGCCTCAAGAGGACAAGAAAACTTGTGCTTAAGATTAGTAATAGATTTGCCTTATACACTTGAGTCAGAAAAAAAAAAACTGTAGAAGCCAAGGTTTTTTGTTTTTCCACTCAACTGTTGATTATGTTTGTATACAGTATCATAGTTCACATTCCTTTGCAAAAGTGAAAAATTATAACTTGAAGGGGAAAAAAATAAGTACTTACTAGATATAAAAACACTTCTCTTTTGTTTCTAGTTTGTCTGGGTAATGAATGAGTTGATACTGGATCTTAATTTAATCATGTTACCTCTAGAACCTCTCTGTACGCACAGATCTGTAAATTAACAGTGATTACCTGTGCTCCAGAAAGTGAATCTGAAACAAGTAGGTGCTAGAAGAGACAACTGTAGAGCTGTTTTTCCTCAATCTTAAGCTGTCCAGCACTACACTGTAAAAGTTACCAGCCATTTTTAAATAATTCCTCCTCTTCCACTTCAGTTGATCATTATTTGAAAAGTGCGCAAACAAGAAGAAAACAGAAGTCTCAGCAGAGAGACTAAGACTAAAATAAATCCTACCAAGAACAGTATGCCAAGCTTGTGAAGTGCTCTCCCTCTAAGAGAATCTGGGAAAGGAGGAGATAAAGAACTCACAATACATGCTTCCAGTGCTACAGCCAAACTGCCGCTGTATCACCTGTCACAAAGGAAGGTTGTAAAGACTTTTTCTTTGCTTGCACGAACAAGCATGGGAGGGAAGCATGACTGGTTAAACCGTTACATTCACAAACAGATGGAGGTGTTTATTTTTTCCTACTCAGTTTCTTGGTCACATGCCCACGTCACCTGTTCACCTCCTCGCTTACCAGTGTGTGTGCGTTTGTGTGCCTGCAGCGACTTCTCTCTTGGAAACACCCTGTTGCAGATATTACAACGGATCCTGCTAGAGGAGTGCTCTCCTTCATTTATCAACTCACGGACTGTGTCCGCTCTTGGCCGGCCACGCCGTAAGCCATCCTGTGAGGAGAGAAGCAGGACGTTGAAGGACTGTGCTTCCCCAGAAGCCCGAAACAAAGCTGAACGAGACGCCACTTTGACACACAGCAACTTTCCCACAGCTATCCTAAGTTAGTGACATCGGGTAACTTAGGGACGTTGCAGCTCCAACAGTTTAGCTCTTAGCCAAGCTCTATAAAAAAGCCCCGTGAGGCGCCCCCACCCCTAAGAACCTCCTCTGCCCTCAGCAGAGCGATCCAGAAAAGACGAGCACGGAAGCAAGGCCCCACCACCCTCGGCAGCGGGCGGGGAAGGCGGGAGTCAGCAGGTGACGGCAGCTCCCGCAGCGCGCGACACTGCGCCCGCTACTACTGTCAGCACAACTGTTGGAGCTGGCCCTGCTGGAGACGGCCCGATGGCTCCGCCTGCACGGGTGGCGGCCCCACAGCGCGCGCGATACTGGCGGAAGTGATCTCATTTTAAATCTCCGGTAGGAGGACAGGCGGGGGAGGGGTGGCGGCGGCCCGGGACACCCTTTAATTCCGCCGGCACCCTCCCAGCGCCCGGGCCCTCTCCGTTGTCGCGGTCCTTACCTTCAGGTGCTGGTGCCGTCCACCGCCGCTCGGGCTGCCGGACTCCTCATCGTCCCGGGTGGGATCCCCTGCCGCCGCGCCGCAGGGCTGCTGGGCGGACGAGGGGACGGGGGCGGCGGCGGCGGGCCCGCCGGGGCTGAGGGTGACGTTGTGCGCATTCTCGCCCCAGCGCCACGGGTATACCATGAAGTCGCTGAAGCCGGGGCTAGTGGGAACGGGCGGAGCGGACGGTGGCTCCTCGCCGTCCCGCCGCGGGGACGGCTTGATTGGAGTGGTCTTGATCACGGACACCAGGACGCGCTTGGGCGAGTCCTGGCAAAGGACCACTGGAGGGCCCAGCGGCCGCTCCGACATGGCCGCGCTGACTGCTGCGGGAAAGGGACCGAGGGCGCGGGAGCACTGCTCGCCCGCGCCGCGGGGACGGATGGAGAGACACGGAGTTCCCTGCTCGGCAGCGCCCGGCAGCGCCTCAGTCGCTCATCGCCAACTCTCGGCACCTTCTCCCTTTCCGCGGCCACCCCCGAGCGGACCCGCGCAGTCAGCGGCGGCCCCCAGCCATCGCGAAAGCCACGGCACCCCCGCACCTTTCCGAAGCGGCGCCGACCCCAGTCTCAGCTCCGTCTCAGCCGCGCTGTCTCCAACGCCGCGACCCTCCACACCCGCACTGAGCCCGGGATTTTCCCGCGTTACGTTTCGCGCCTGGGCGTAGCCAATCCCCGAACCTTGCTCTGGTGTCAGGGACGGCAACTCGCACCAGCCAATGGCACTGCGAGAAACTGGACGGCCCGCCCCTTGAAGGCGCGGCCCAGACGGGACTCGGCCTCTCCTCTATAGCCCCATTGGGCCGGCGCCCGGCCCACCGGCAGGATTCGAAACTGAGTGGGCTCTCAGGCTGCGGGTCCGCCCCGCCGCGCCGCACTCCGCTCCCTCGCTGATTGGCCCGCAGCGAGAGAGTGGGTGGGACGAGGAGGAGAAGGCGTGGCCAATCGCCCTCTTTAGTTTGGCGCGCGCTGTTGTTGTTGAGCCACTCGGGCCAATGGTAGCGCCGCAGCGTGCGCGCCGTTTAAAGGGACCGCCTCGCTCGGGAAGGGTGGTGCCCGCGGGGCCGGGCAAGCAGGCGAACGCTCTGTGAAAGGCGACCGTTATGGCGGTTGGGGCGCACGCTGGCGTTCAAGGGGTGCCAGGAGGTCCCTGAACCGGGGGTGTTGTTTTTTTTTTTTTGTATCTGGTGCTTAGAGCTTCAGCAGGTTACTCATGTTTGCATGTTAATATCTGTGGGTTTGTCTAGTTGTTTCTAGTTTAATACAGCTCTTTAGGTACATTTATACCCTGTGTCCCAAGACCCACGACAGTTTCACAACCGCACACAGTCAGCAGTGCCCAGACTGCAGCTGCAGGGCTGCTCCTGGCCCAGTGAGCTAGGATTTGCATTCATTTGAGTAGTGGGAGTGTGTCTGAACGGTGAAAGCTGTGATGATGAGGAGGAATAACCTGGAAAGTAGTGTCATATGTGGATTTTGCCTTATCTGGTAAAAGCGTACATACAGGGTGGATGTTGCCACTGTACTTCATGTACTAAATCCTTTACAAATTCGATTATTTGGAATGGAAAAAAGGTCTTGGCTTCATCAGATACAGTGGTACCATTTATTTTATGCTGTTTTTCTGCATTCTTAAGTAGTGCTAAAATGCAGGACACGCTTCTTTTGGGATTTGGTGGAGGACTTTTAGTATGAAGCTAGCCGCTAAGATTACACTAACATGCTGCCTATTGTACTATCACACTGAGTTGTACAGATTGCAGATTATGAAATCAGTAACTTGTATCACTTCCATTACTGGATAAATTTCAAGGTTAATGTCAGATACACAAGCCATGAAGCTGGTTTGGAAAGAAAACACAGCAATATGTAACTTCCATTTCCAAAATGACTGAACAAGTTACCACATGTTTGGATCCACTTAAAACTTAAAGCCTTGAAAACAACCTAAAGAAGGTTCTTGTAAGAGGATAATGTGCACATGGGAGAAACAATGACTTGTTTATGAAAGTAATTGCATCCCAAATGCTAATTGAATACTTTTCATAACTTTCCAAATCCATGTAAGTAATGCTTCAGGTAGCACATGTATCTTATGAGAAACTCCTGTGACTGACAGAATGAACTGTGGTACAATACACAGAACTGTATATATTGCGGGGCAAATATAGAAGTATGTAACTAAATATCTCCCATCTGCTAGAGGAAGAAACATGCATAGAATGTGCATGGCCTAACGGGATTTAAACATCCTGCTTTTCAGTACATACAGTCATCATGTAAAGCTAATGGTTCAGGTCACATTATATAAAAGCAATTTTAAAATAGTCATCTGAACTATAGCATCCTAACAAATTAAATGCATTTTCTCTTGATTCTACTTTGACTATAAGCTATTCACTTAATTTGTAAAAGCACTGATATTATAGTTAATGTATGTATGGTGACTGTTGAGTCACAGCCTGAATCACTGATTGAGCACCTGGGGAAAGGACTGGGTCAGCCCTGAGAGCACAGGTGAAGGCAATTCAGCTCTGCAACCGGAAGGGTTAGAGCCTGGCTGCACATCTCTTTGACCTCATTTAAGGGCTGACTGCCCCTCGCAAAGGATCTCTTCCTGGAGATCTCTTATTGGTGAAGCTTTCCCCTACAAAGCTAGGATCTTCTGATATGGGTGAGCAATCTTCTTCCCTTCCTTTTCTAGCACCTCTCTATTGTGCTAGTCCTTCCATCACTGCACCTTTGTTGTAATGTTTTTCCCATTGTATTGATCTGCCCAAGTGCTATAATGTAGAAACAAGAAAATGTTTTCTCAAAACGTTTTACGTGCTTAACTTCAGATCAAATCTTACTGAACACTGATATGAAATACACCTTTTATTATAACAGTGAACAAAAGCAGTGAAAGGATAGGCAGTAAGCACTCAGAACAATGAAAAAGATATGTTCTATTGTAAAGCAAACAAAGGTGGTGACAGAACCTTTATTTGAGATACAGGCACCATAGGACAAGATATCAAAGAAAGAGGAATTAATTCACCCCTTCCAGCAACAGTTTGGAGGACAGGGTGAGCTGAGGAATGCGGCCTTCTCCGGTTCGAGCTCTGGTGCCGGGAGGAGGAGGGGCGGGGGAAACCCAGGCAGACTCAGGCTGCATATGTGCTCCCGGAAGCACCGCTGAGATGGAGTGGAGAGGAAGGGTTGGATCAAGGCTCCCCTGCTCCAGGCACTCACTCACTTGTGTACTGGTTCAGGCTGTGACCTGGCAACTCCTTTGCATCTATCCATCTAGTTAGACTCAAGATGAGCATCATGATTCAGGAATCTGAAGATCCTGAACTCTCACAGAACTTAAAACTACATCTAATTCTCCTGGCCTGGTAAATGCTCTCATGCTGCGTCTCTGAAGAATGCTTCTACCGTTTCTTGTGATGCTCTAAAGTTCTGAACAGAGAAATTTAGAGATGGTGCTGGTTTTTAGGTAGAAAAAAGATGCCAATATGCCAAAAGATGGTTACATCCTTCAAGCAACCTTGTTGCACGTTGTAAAATAGACTCACATAACTTAGCCATAGTCATAGTATCTCTTTTTTACGTGTTCATTACTACATTTTCCAAGTATTGCTTTGTATCAAGTCAGTTGTCCTTTTAAGACAATATTTTTGTGTGTGCTAATAGCTTATTTGAGGCCAGTTACCAAATGTTCTAGAGGGAGCGAAATGAAACAATACTCTTGTCTCATCTTCTAAAGGTGATAGAAGAATGGTAGTTAAAATAAGCAGGTCCCCTTCACTGGTGTAGCTATGTATAACTCAGTTTAAAACTTTATGTAATTAATGGAGTTCCATAGAATCTCATTACTGAAAAATGTATGTAATAGCTAGATCCAACAAGTGACACAGCATCACAGCCTCTATAGGCCTTCTGCCCCCTGACAGGACCTTGAGGTGTGCGATCCCTTTGGGATGTTTATGTTTAAGGCAGGATACATTTACACATCGGAAAACCAGAGTTGTGTCAGCAGAGGAGAAAGTGGCTGTAGAAAAGGTAAAGGACAAGGAGTCCCTCACTGGCTTAGCTGTAAAGGTCAGAGAAACTCTATTCTCCATACACATCTCCTGTAATTAGGCAGCTGTGACCTTTAAAAAAAATTAATAAAAAATGAAAATAGAAGCCAAAGACTTACAAAATTTAGTTAATATTCAAAGACAAAACAAGTCTGGTTCCAAACACAAACCCCTTGTGTAAACATTGTAGGAAGGTGCTGAAGAGCCACCTACACAAAGGGAAGCAATTTGCGTTCCCCAACAACAGGATCATATATGGGCAAACCAAAAGATCAGCAAAGATCCCTTGCAACAATTCCTTGATTGGCAGAAGCAAGTGCAGTGTTAGATTTAGTATGTATGACAATTCTAAGAATAGGCAGGAAGTTCAGTAAAACTGTGTGAAAACTTGTATGTTAAATACATATAATGAGAGTGATTTAGCATGCTAGGTGGAGAGGTCTGTGCATTCTTACAAACCTGCTGTTTTGCACGCATGAAAAAGTGACTTACGGTGAGAATCAGGATAGAGAAGCAACTTTGGCACACAGTGATCTTCATGACTGAGGATCTGCTGTCAGAAGGTAAGGCATCAGTGCACAGCACTGCAAACATGAGATGAGGACCTCAAGTGCAACTCTGTCATCATACCACTTCTCTTGCCATTATGTATTCAGTGTATGTTCAGGTGTATATTCAGGCAGAAGGCTTGGATTCATATCAGATATTACGTTTAAATATTCTTTGTCCTTTTCTTTTTATTTTGCTGTGTGTATGTGTAACCTCAGATTCTCACACTGACTGTGTAGTGTAGATTTGCAAATAGATATAACAGATTCTCTTTAACATCCCATGCCAAACTTTTAATCAGTTTCAATCAATGTTGGAAATTTGCAGTACATAAATTGTATTTTGATTCATTATTCAAAAAATCAGAGAAATAAGAACTTTTTTCAGAGGTTTACATTTATTTTAGAGAATATAAATATATCTTGCAGATTTTTAACTACTAATTTTTAGCTATCACTGTAGTATTTCTATGAGGAGTTGTACTTTTTGCTGTCTCTTATGAAACCTTGTGGAAACAAAACTAGGTTTCATAAAACATCTAATCTCATATTCATCTCTCTGTAAAATATGGTGACCTTCAAAACAGGAACAGTTTGTCTAGGTAAACATTTCTTACATGGTATTCTATTACCATATCATATTCATGAAAGTACTTTAGAATTTTGTTGCTGTTATGTCTGGCTGCTATACTCAGCAGAGCTGAGCTCTGCAGAAATGATGATAACATATATTCTTTTTGCTCAGTTGCAAAAATTTCCTGCTTTCCTCTACAGTATGTTGGAGCCCAGGAAATCAGATCCAACTACCAGAATTTTATAGAGCTCTTTGTGAGCAGTCCTTCCTTAGTTGCTGTTATTCCTATTGATGCAAACCTATTTGTGATGTTTTGAATAAGGAAGAAGATACAGTGAGCACAGTCTAATAATCTAAGTTTTGTTCTGCGGCCTGTTCTGGGTAAGATGACATGCTTTGCATAAACGGATCCAGATGAAAGCTGTGAGTGAGGCACTAAGTCTTCAGGCCCTGGGCTAAAGCAGGACTGGTGAGAAGGGCCCCGTAAGTGAAAGTAAAAAGGCAAGAAGGCTTCAGAGTGACTAAGAATAAGGGGGGTGAAGGGGAATATTTAGAGAGTGATAGGGATGTCAGAACTGAAGAGAGGGGAGCAGGATAAAGAGGTTTATCTTTTGGTGGATATGGGTGCCTTTTACTACCTGTAGATGATTTTGTAACAGTAGTAGGAGCTAATGCCCAATAAGAAAAGGCTTACTTTTGGGATCAATTACATATAGGCTGAGAAAACAAGTAGGAATACATAAATTCTTGTACATGTCAGGTTACTCTGGCAAGAAATTAAGTAAAACTGGAGCTAAGGATCAAACAATATTAACTAATGGAGAATTGTATGTCTGCCTTTAACACAAACTGGGAAAAACAAGTTTGTAGCCCTGGAAGTTACAGAAATCTTGAATAAGATACGCTTAGGAGTGCAGGTATCAAGGATACCTAGCAGAGCCAAAAATGCAGCCCTAAATAGAAGTTAAGTTAAAAGCAAGAGTTAGCTGAATCAGAGTAACGGAGTGCCCTTTGAGGATATGTGACTGTAGACAGATAAAAGAAATAATTGATAATTTTTGGACTTTGGATCACTAATTGAATATGAATCCAAATACAGTACATTAGAAAGCTAGTGCTATAGTTTGGAACAAGATTTGAGGGCAAGTAATAGAATAGTTGAATGCATACACTCAGTGGTGAAAAATCCTTACACTTTATTAACCAAGTTAAGGAATGAGTAAGTGGAGTTTATCTTCTGGATTTGAAGGATAGGATGCCTTTTCTTCCTCGTTTGGCCAAAGGAAGCCTAAGGTTATTTGCCTTTGAATAAGAAAACACCAAGATGTGGTGAAAAGACTCAGTTAATCTCAACAGTGTTATCCAGGGTTGTGAGAACAGCTCAATGATTTTTTTGAGAGCTGGTCAACTTGTGAACTGGAGACTTGGGTTCCTCCATCCCAGGGTGGAACCTTACTGCAGTACGTGGATGTCACAAAACAAAAGAGGACTGTGTGCAATGGACTGTGAGTTTGCTGAATTTCTTGGCTTAAATGATTATCAAGTCTCTCAAGAGAAAGCACAAATAACTCAGCAGCAAGTTATGTATTTGGGATATGAGATTACAGCTGGACTTCAAACCTTAAGGACTGTCAGGAAAGAAGCCATCTGCCAAACCCCTGAGCCACAAACTGCCAAGGAACTCCGTATGTTCCCAGGAATGGCAGGATGGTGCCGACTGTGGATACACAGCTACAGGCTGTTGGTAAAGCCAAAATATTATATGAAATGGGGGGGCAAGATGGGCATTCCCTCAGCTGAAATAAGAAAAATAAGAACTCATAAAGGCCCTCTGCTCTGGGGCTACCAGACATGACTAAATCCTTCTGGCTGTTCTCGCATAAAAAGAAGGAATGGCACTGGGAGTCCTTGCCCAGAACCTTGGATCCTATTGAAGGGCAGGGGCATACTTCTCCAAACAACTTGATGAAGTGAGTAAGGAATGGCCGGGGTGCTTGAGGGTGGTGGCTGTACTCAATATTCAAGAAGCCAGTGAAGTTATGCTAGGCCAAAGAATAACAGTTTTAATATCTCATACGGTGTCTACTGTATTAGTGATAAAAGGGGGCATTGGTTCTCACCCCAAAGGTTCCTGAAATCCCAGGCCATCCTGATAGAGCAGGATGATGTAGAAATAATTGTAACTTATATTGTCAATCCAGTATCTTTCCTTAGCGGAACTCCTGGAGAACAACTATTTCATGACTGTTTAGAAACAACTGAAGCTGCATATTCCAGCCAGCTGGACCTGAAGGACAAACCCTTAGAAGATGCAGAAGACATCTGCTTTACTGGTGGTAGCAGTTTTGTGAGACAAGGGAACTGTAAGGCAGGATATGCAGTAGCTGCAACTGATAAGGTAATCGAAGCACAACCATTACCTGAGATGACTTTCCCTCAAAAGGCTGAAATAACTGTCTGGACAAGGGCCTTAATTATATGAAGAGATGCTAATTATGTATTTGGGGTGCTACATACTCATAGTACCATCTGAAAAGAGCAAGGATTTCACATGCAAGGAAAACAGCATGATGTAAATCTACTAAAGAGCATGGCTATTATACATTGTAAAGGACATCAGAAAGGTAACACTGTACAGGAAACTGGAAATAATATGATGGGTCAGGTGGCAGAACAGGTAGTTGAAGAAGGCTTTTATTCCAGACGGTAAACTTAAAATCTCTAAACCTGAGTCAGAACCTGTAAAATATTCTAGAGAGGATAGCAATCTCATTAATGATTTAGAAGGGAGGGCAACAATGGCAAATTGATTTCTTGGAACTCCCAAAAAAAGGGGGTGTCGCTGTATGTTGGTACTGATACCTTCTTACAGTGGCCAGAGGCACTCCCTTGTAGGACTGATAAGGTATGTGGAGTAACTAAAGTGTTGTTACAGGAGGTTATTCCAAGATGCTGAGGAACTACTTGGTCTGTCAAGGAAAGTGTACCATCAGAAGTTAAACTCATAAGGAAAAGATGAGTTGGTTACTAATTTTCTTAATTTCAGTGTACACAGGGTGGTGTCTGTGGCAAGTTGGTGTTGTGTGCTGTTATATTTTGTATTTTGGTTGCAATAGTACAATGTTTTGTGTTTTATTTATTTGTTATTGTTAAATGTGTGATTGCCACTTTTATCCCTTCCATTTGACTCAACCTTACATTTCTATACTTAACAATGGCTGCTATTAAGGAAAGTAATAGCACTCTCATTAGTGGGCATGAATATCATAAAGGAAGTAATATAATGAGCAGGTGTTGTTTGGGTAAAGGTTTCTGGTGGCTGAGAAGAGATGGGAGAACTCAAAATCCCACCAGGCATAGTGAAAACTATTTGGAGCCAGTATCAAAATCCAAGCAGGGTTAAAAGGGTAAATAACCCATTGGTAAGGTATAATACAGGATACCATAGCTTTGTGAGAGTCTTATCCCAGTCTTAGGAGTAGCTCAGCTGGAAAGAGCTATAGTGAATATCTCTGCAACTGTACAAATAGTAGAAAATGCCACAACAAACGCATTACAAGCAATTCAAGAGGAGATATCCTCTTTGTCCAAAGTAGTACTCCAAAACAGAATGGCATTAGATCTATTAACAGCTAAAGAAGGAGGGGTATGCACAATGATAAATCAGAGTTGCTGTACTTTTAAGTAAGTAAGAATCTGAGAACAGACTTAAGGAAAATCTGGGAGCAAACAAAAGTCCTGCATAGGACAAGTATCAATAACACAACTGGGAAACAGATCTATGGGGCTCACTTACTAGCTGATTACCGAATCTAGGAGGGTTAAGGCAGCTTTTTTTGGCATGCATTGTACTGGTACTATTGGTGGGCCTTACCTGTGCATAATGAGGTGTTCTATGTGCCTATGCCGGAATACTAGAAGGGAGTATGAGGTATGGAAGAGACAGGAGTTAAGGCAAAAGGTGGGAAGTGAACTTATTTCACACACTAAGAAGGAATAATCTAGCATGTGTAAATCCTGCTAGATTAAAGAAAAGGGGGGAATTGAAAGGCAAGAAGGGCCCCGCAAGTGAAAGTGAAAAGGCAAGAAGGCTTCACAGTGACTAAGAATAAGGGGGTGAAGGGGAATAGTTAGAGATAGTTTATAGAAGCAAGAATGTAGAGCATGTTAGAAAAATAAGGGATGGCAGACACTGTGTCTGGGATAGTGAGGGCGATGAAGGCCATAAAGATAAGAATTTGAGAACAGCCCGAGGACGTCTGGCAGGGAGGTGATTAGATGTCCACAGGGCAAGAAGAAACCGGTTTGGGGGGATGCCCCCCCGAAAGGTCAGAAGTTTACAGCAAGAATGGCCAGAAGCCTTCACGAGGAAGACGACAAATCTTCATCCCACGACCCACTACAGAAACTTAAGAGGGGAGGATCTGCGTGCTAATGAACTCTCGGGGTGAAATGAATATGTATCCAAATTCCAGGAAAACTATTGATTATGTATTCACCCTATATCTATAACACGATTTTTCCAGATGGTGTGCAAGTTAGGCGGATCTATCCCTCTTGCACCTGGTGTCTACACAGCACTGAATAAACTGTACCTGCTTTGTAATCTTACTTGGGTTACAGAGTTTGATTCCGCACATCAGACCTGTTTTGTTTTCTGAGATACACCTAGGCCTCGCTAGAGACAGAGGGAGGTGGCTGACAGCTCTGAAGCATCGGCAGGGGCTTTCTTGGTTTTGAGACCCTGTGCTAAGGACGAGATAAAGTTGAAAACAGATAGTGTGTACAAAAGTTATCAACATGCTTTCTAAAAACAGAGAAAGCGATCCATGAATGCTGGAACATAACATCCTCACAGAAATCACTGATTATCCCTTTGTTGGCCATGGAGCCCTGAAGGCCGTGCTGATTGCACTCATTGGATTGCTGTAGCTGACAAGGCAGTGCAGGAATGTTGGGTCTGCACGTGGGGTGGATAGGCACTGGGGCCTCCAGGAGCTGCGGGTATTAATCATGGGCATCAGAGGTGATAAAGACACTCCCAGACAGCTCTGGCCAATATTTCTACTGTGTTAATGGGACTATTTGCATGTGGTCTGTCAACTGTTTATGGGCTGATTTGGCCCTGCTCCATGACATGTAGGGCGGAGGGACCTGCAGATCTGTGCCCTGGGAAGAGATAATGGAAAAGGATAGAGAGATAGGCCTAAAACAAAACAGCTGCAACGATCTGAGGAGAAACAAATTATTTACTAAATAAAATATTGGAATGCAAGATAACACACTATAATACAATATAATTAGAGTTGGAGCTAATAAATCAAATATAAAGAGAGTAGTGTCCAAAAGCCAAAGGCCTTACTCTAATGCTGTAATGAGATGGCCCCCACAACAGATACAAGCAAGATGATTGAAAGGGATGTCAGGTGACCTACCAAGGCCTTTTATTTGTTCCTCCTGAGCAGAAATGATAGCAGAACAGCAAATAGTCTTCTGGGGATCTAGTTCTTCTCTTCTGGGATAGGTACCCAGACCTGGAGCATTAACTCTTTAACTCCCAGTGCACCACATGATGTTATGATGTGGAATACCAATAATCAAAGAAAATAATCAGAAAACCACGATATAGTCTTATGTGGCTGGGTTGTATGTGGAAGCTGAGGATCTCCGCTCAGTATTTCTGCTGAATGGAGCAGATGTCTCAGTTGGTGGAGACCAACTTAAAGATCATCCATTTCCAACCCCTTATTACAGACAGTTTCACCGTTCACTAGATCAGGATGCTCAGGGCCCCATCCAACTAAGCCTTGAACACCTCCAGGGATGGGGCATCCATGACAGTCTCTCCGGGCAGCCTATTCCAGTCCCTTATCACTGTCAACGCTGTACATCTCCCTGCAGTGCTACACTGCAAGCTCCCTGGTGTTACTGCACATATTTGTTGAGGTGCAGAAACTTTATTGCCACTGCAGTTCCAAGCAGAAAGAAGCACGTTAGAACCTCTATAGCACTCCAAGTCTATCCTATGCCTCCTGCTGGGAACACCCCATGTGTCCTCTCTCTGTCTGTTTCCTCCCACTCTTCAACATCCTCAAAGCACAAAAACTATTATAAAGCAATAAATAGTCTTTCACTCTCTCAAGCTGCTCTGCATGGTGCATGCTTGCACTTCAGCCTCCTGACTCTGGGATGGGTAGCAGAATAAACCCCCCGAGATTCCAGATGGAGACAGTTAAGACAGTTAAGAGACAGTTAAGTCTTCTACTCCATCCAGGCTGCCACAAGTCCTTGGGCTATATAAGTTCCATTCAAAGATGCTGAGGGAGCTGGTGGAGGTGATTGCCAAGCTGTTTTCCACCACCTATCAGTGATTCTGGTCAACTGGAGAGGCCCTAGATGACTGGAGTCTTGTCAGTTTTACTCCCATTGACAAGAAGAGTCATAAGGAGGATCTAGGGACCTACAGGCCTGCCAGTCTGATCCTGGTGCCAGGGAAGGTTGTGGAACAGATCATTTTGAGTGTGTGTGCATGTGTGGCATGTGTGGGACAACCAGGGGATCAGGCCCAGCTAGCATGGCTTCATGAAAAGCAGGTCCAGCTTGAACAACGTGATCTCTTTCTATGACTGGGTGATCTGTCACCTGGTGGATGAGATAAAGGCTGTTGCTGATGACCTAGACTTCAGTAAAGTCTTTAACACCGTCTTCTACAGCATTCTCCTAGGAAAGCTGGCAGCTCATGGCTTGAACAGGTACACTCTTTTCTGGGTGGAGGGCCGGGCCCAGAGGTGATGGTGAATGGAGTTATGTCCGGCTGGTTGCTGGTTGTGAGTGCTGGTCCTGAGGGGTTGATATTGGCTTCATCCTGCTTAATATCTTTATTGATAACCTGGATGAGGGGATTGAATGTACCCTCAGTAAGTTTTCAGATGACACCAAGTGGAAATGTTCATCTGTCTGGGGATAGGAAGGCCTACAGAGGGCGCCAGGCAACTTGGATCAGTGTGTTGAGGCCAATTGTATGAGGTTCAACAAGATCCTGTGCTGGATCTTACACCTGTGTCACAAAAACCTCATGCAATGCTACAGGCTCGACAGCCAGCAGTGTGTTCAGGTAGCCAAAGTGGCCAATGGCATCCTGGCATGTTTCAGAAATAGTGTTGCCAGCAGGAGCAGGGAGGTGATTGTCCCTCTGTACTCAGCTCTTGTGAGGCCACACTTTGTGTGCTATGTTTTGGGCCACTCACAAAAAGAAAGATGTTGAGGAGCTGGAGCTTGTCCAGAGAAGGACAGCAAAGCAGTGAAGGATCTGAAGCACAAGTCTTATGGGGAACAGCTGCGGGAAGTGGGATTGCTGAGTCTGGAGAATAGCAGGCTCAGGGGAGATCTTATGACTGCCCGCAAAGACCTGACTGATGGTTATAGTGCAGAGTTGGCCTCTTCTCCTGGTTAACAGCGATAGCACAAGAGGAAATGGCCTCAAGTTTCTCCAGGGGAGGTTCAGGTTGGATGTTAGATAATGTTTCTTCCCTGAAAAAGCGGGAAAAGGCTAGCCAGGGAGGTGTTCAAGAAACGTGTACATGTAGCACATAAATGTGTACACAAGGGACATGGTTTAGTGGAGAAATATTAATGACAGGAGGACGGTTGGACTAGACGATCTTAAACGTCTTTTCCTACCTTAATCATTCCACAATTCATCCCTCGCGCCATCTGGTCAGTGGGCAATTATTGGCTCTGCAGTGCGCTGCATTCTAATTGGCTGCAGCCGCAAACAGGACGGGACTAGGCTGCGCAGGGATTGGTTGATCACCCTTGTCATTGTCTAGGATTGGCCGTGGGCGAGGTCGGCAGCGCTGGTAGGAGGTGGCTGCGGACGGCCGGCAGGTTGGGGTGTGGTTGGCTGGCAAGGCTGGAAACAGGTGCGTGCGGGAATGCTGTGGCCGCGGGTGTGGCGCTGAGCCGGCGCGGTGCCTGTTCCCCGCCGCCTTCTGCTAACACCCGCCGGCAGCGGCCGTGACCATGGCTACGGCTATGATGAAGGGGGCGATGGGCTGCCCGGTGGCTGACATCATGGAGGTGAGCTTCAGTTGCGCTGTCGCCAACCGCTTCTACCAGCTGCTGGACGACGAGTCGGGCCCCTTCGACAACCTCCGCGAGGCAGAGCGCCGCCAGCAGCAACGCAAGAGCCTCGGCAAAGCGGTGGCCCGGCGGGGCTGTCCTGGTGGCAGAGGGGGTACCGCCAAGAGGGAGCCCCAGAAGCAGCGTAAGCAGCTCGGGGCGCCCGCGCCACCGCCGCAGCTCGGTACGGGGCGCCGCGCCGCGGGAGAGTGGCGGCGTCTCAGCGGCGTGGGTACGGGATCGGGCGGCGCTGCCTCGGGGGGTGGCGGAGGGAACGATGCGATCCGGGCCGGGTGCTGCGGGAGGCGGGAGTGCAGGGGGTCCGAGGGAGCGCCCGCGGAGCGAGAGGCGGTCGGGCTGCTCCGATGTGAGTCCGGGCCTCTGTGCTGCGGACGGGAAGCGCCGACAGAGGAACTTAAGAAAGAACGCGAGGGAGGAGCGGGAGGCAGCTGCCTGCCTCGGTTCTGGTTCCTCCGCTCTAACACTGCTGTGGATGTCCTTTCCCTGGAGGAATTCGAGGCCAGGCTGATGGTGAGTGGCAGCCCTCTGTCCCACTGTGGGGCGTTGGAGCTGGGTGAGCTTTGAAACCTCTTCCAACCCAAGCCATTCTGTGAGTTTTAACACCTTGGGGAATTACGTACTAATTGCAACGGAGCTATTATTGTTCCATCAAGCTGTTGTCAGTGCTACCACATCTATTCCTTTAGTTTTATGCTGCTCCAGCAGCAATTACTTGACTTTGTGGGGCCAAATACATGCTAGTTGATATGCAGCTTTGTAGAAGACAATTATATATATATATATATAGGTTGTCGCTTTAGGCAGTTTTTTTGGACTGTTGTCTTTTGAGGTACTTCTGAGATAGAAACATGACTGTCAGAAATATCTGCCTGGAAGATGAACGTTCATTTTAGCACCAGGTCTCCTTCATTTTCAGGGTGCTCTGCTGTGGTTACCAGCGGAAAGCAGAGGAATCTGTTAGTGAACAGCAGGGCAATGCTTTGATGAAAAAGTTGTTGCACAAGTAGTGTTGGGTGTCCACCAGGACTGTGAAGTGTGTGAAAGCCATCTTCACCTCTGACTTCTCCATTGATATCTTGAGCATACAGGTTCTGAATGTAATCCTCTGTATTACCCCATGGCCTGATGGACTGAATATTTTCTGCTACCTTGATACTAAGGAAACCTTCTTTCTGCAGGTAAAGGTATCAGATGTATGCCTTGGTTTTCTTTACTGATAATTTAAACAGGGAAAAAGACTGCTGGCTTTGGTAGTAGACTTTAGGAAAGTGAGTAAGCACTTAGCTTGGGAGTTATTTCTTATTAGGGAAATAAAAAGTGCTTTCTCCTTTATAAGTGGTTATTCTGGATTTTGAATGCTTATATGTTTGTGTCTTAATTTTCCTTGAGAAATAAGATTGTGTGGTGGAGAGAGGTGAGACCTGGGCCTCCCTGTGTACATCTGCTACAGTCATTGTCTTCTTGCTTGCGTGACATAAAGTTAATTTGTTCTAATTCAGTTAGAAAACTTCTGGATGCCAAAAAAGTTACAGGGGGACTGCGAACTTAATGGGTGAGAATGATCAGCTACTCCCTTTATGAAGAAAAGGCACTGCTACTTCATAATCTACCAAAAGAAACATGGTTGTTTTTTTTTGTTTTTTTTTTTTTTTCTGCCATCTAATGATGTGATTGTGGCTTTTTAGTTTAAGTTACTGTGTTTTTTTTAAATGTGATTATTAAAATGTATGCAGAGAGCTTGTACCCATTGTAGGTACTGCAGCATTTGATGTTAGCTCAGTTGATTCTTAGCACGGTGGCCAAACTGCATTTGCCAGCTCTTTAATTCAAAAAACTTTGTTGCAGAGCTTGCATTCTTTTAGCAAGACTGGCAAATTAAACCTGTTGATCATGCACTAATAAACTCAATTCAGTTGAAAGCTCTAAACCTTTGTTGCTAATGTCTCCAGAAGGTTTTCTTCTCTCCTTTTCATTTGATGACTTGTGATGTTTTGATACAGTTCCTAAATTGTCTGAATTTTTAGCTACTACTTTAAGTTAATATGGCACGATGTGTTTCTGGGGATATTTTTCCTATGCTGTCTGCAGTTCTCTTATCTTTTTAAAAAATAATTCCAGTATCATTCTTTCAGATAGGTAGGCAGAAGAATTGTCCACAGGGGTAGCTGTGGTAGGCAGCTCTGTAACTGCTTGCTAACACTCAGGGAAACAAATAGAACAGAGTCTTAGTTCCATTTATTTTTCTTTGGAGTGTTGTATGCAGTAGATGGAGCTAGACTTTTTTTTTTTGATACTATTCTGTGAATCATGTAGTTAGCCATGTGTTAGTTCACAAAATTAAATGCTTCAAAAATTAGTAGTATTTTTGTTCTCCTACACTAGGATTTCAGCTTAGAACCAATGCTTGAATAATTGGTGGTATAGTTGGGATGTACATATAGCAGACAGTGTATACCATTCTGTATTCTTTATAACTAAAAGTTTTCCAAATTAGTATGCTTTAATAAAAAGTTCTCCAATAATTTTAGAAATTGCCCTTTATCCAGATACTTAATCTTAGTTTTGGGAATGAAAATATGCTTTCTTCTGTAAGAATTGAGCTAATCCAAACCTTGAGGAAGGAGAATGTATCATTTCAAGTGGTCTGTAGCTTAAAGAAAACCAGTTAAACTTTCTTCTGTGTACAGACATGACTCTCCTTATTGCATAGCAAGAGGCTTTGTCTATCACAATTTTATCTTATTCTCTGAGTGGATTGTTCTTTAGTTTACTTTTATAGATTATGTTGCAGACTTCATGCTTGCCAGCCAAGCTTTAAATCAGATCTTTATATGTGGTCATTTTCTGTAGAACTAGGAATTCATTTGTATATTAATATTGTGTAGTGGAATAGGTTTTTGTATATTCTTGAAGCTAAAGCACATTAACCAGGACTGTAATTTGTATATTAACCTGTTGAATTTAGTAACTTCCTCAGCACAGCACAGGTGCTTTTGGAAAAAAAGAGCACAGTTTCACTGGTCTGAGGCTTGTGTTTCTGTAGTTCCTTGCTTGATTTCTTAAACCAATTTCTGCAGTTACTAGTGTAAGTACAGATGTCTAGGAGAGGGTCTGCTTGCCTCTGGAGAACTTTGTCTTAAATAGAGGAGAATTTGGGGAAAACAAGGATGGATGCACATAATGAACTCTATTGTTACACAGGATGCATTTAGGTTAAATGGATAACCTCAACTTGTCTTCTACAATACGCAGTACCTTTGCACTCAGTTTTTTCAACCTCAGCAATGTCCAGAAAAATCCCAGAAGGCTTAAATACATTTTGTCTTGGAACATAGTGACATTTTAGAATTAGGTGTAGTCTCTGTATTTACTGCTTGGGTTTCTGTTGTTTAAACTTGATGTCTGGCAGTGTTAAATAGTTATCTTCTCCTTAGAGCTGTAATAGGAGGTAATCCTTATTTTATTGTATGCCATATTTGTGAGCTTGAAGGAGAAGTACAGGCTCAGACTTGAAAATCTAGCTCATCTATCAAGAAGTGCGTTGATCAACAGCTAACACATCTCAAATGATCTTTCCATTGTTTATTCTGCAACAATCTTGGAATTCATGTCTTCCAAAGAAGCTTCTCTGTCTTTTCCTTGTGTCCTACAGAAAGATCTTTGAAAAAACGTGAAAAACAATTTTGGTTCTCCATTTCTGTAACTTCATGTGAGGGGGGAAAAAAAAATGTGATTTCTCTAGCTTGTTGTGGTTTTGTTTTTTGTTGTTTTTTAAATGGCTGAACAGTGTCAACAGGAAAGCTAGACTCACTAATCTGTAAGGGAAAGTATGTATATTTAAAGACAGTGTCTGGTAAGATTAACTGCAAGGGCATTTAATAGTTGGGGTGGATTTGGAACTGAAGACTTAAAGCTGAAGTCTGTAAGGTGTATTTAGCTCACTTAAGTCAACAGTAAGTATGATTCAGTTATTGTTAAACTCTTAGTAATGTGTGTGTGTATATGTGTTTCTAGGTCAGAAGCAAGTACCTAAACAAGAAGACTGTAGAGGAAAAGACAGTAGCAGAGCAGAGAAACAAGACAAAACTGAATGGAGGCCGTCATTCACGGAATACTCATCTTGTGAAACAGAAAGTCAAGCAGAACTCACAGCTAAGAGGTATGTATCATATAGAGGATCATGAGGTGCCTCATGAAAAGGAAAAGTGTGTATGGGATGGGAAGGAGAGAGAAAGAGTTAAACTTCTTAAGCAGATATCATAGCCAAAAGTGACTTACAGTGTTGTTAATTTGTAGATTTGGTGCAATGTAAATTAGTTGAGTCTGGCAGAGCTGCAATTTTGTCTTCCTTGCAGATTGATTTGGAACTGTTTTGTTAAGTGGTTAAAGGCAAAACTAAGAATTGCTAAGATATGAAAACTTAGCCCTTAGTCTATAATGTAAATACTGTGTTTCTGAACTTGGTAACCAAATTTTGTAGGATATCTGGTGCAGATTGAAAGTAGAGAAACTACTTTCAATAGAAACTATACCTTTGTTATACTGCTTGCTACTTGGACAGTGAACATGCAAATTTTGTTTTCTTTCTAGGTACTAGAATAATTCCAAACTTCTAACAGTTAAGAGTGTAGCTCTTCTTACTGTCTGTGAATGTAGTTGATATTTTAAAACTTGTTTGCAGTTGCGTATAAATCTGAACTTGAGAGTGGAGTTATTACTCAAGTCACTGAAGACATGACAGCTTTATAGTGTTTTATTAAACTTCTCTAATATTTCTGTTCATCAATGGCTAAAGTTCCTATTCCTATTGTGTATAATAATTCTTACTTTAAGCCAAAACTAATACAATCGTACTGTATTATGTAAAGATGTAGATTTAAAAAATTTTACAGTAGCTCCCCTATACTGATATCACAGCTACACAAATGTAAACATAGGATTTTTTTCTTCTTGCACTCTGACTACACGTCTTCTTAGACCTATTGAAAAATTAGACTGTGAAAGGCCAACAGGTTGTGGAAGAGGAAAAGATGAAATGCAAGGTAGAGGAAGAGGCTGTGGAACAAAAAAAAAGTTCTGATGGCTTCGACTACAGAGGAAAACGGGAATTTAAAAGACAAAGTGACGATGATGAAATGTAAGTGTTGAGCGTGCTTATTCTCAGTGAAAAGTAGAGTTGTCATTATGGTAGAATTTCTTGCGTATTCTATTCCTTTCTCTGTAGACAAACTGGCTGCCAAAAAGACAGTTTTAATTTGGGACTCTGCTGGGGAAAAAAAAAGCTCTTAAAGAATTCTCTTTCCTCTCTCTAGTGGAATGAGAACAGATAACATAAAAGGTGGAAGTGGAGCTTGCAACTGGGGAGCAGTTAAATATATGATGTACAATATATAATTGTGTCCACCATCATTGTCTGGTTCTCACTGTAGGCAGTGTTCTATTTATCAAAGTCTGGATGTTTTTAGGTTAAAGTTATGCTTTCTATTCATTGTTGTGATTAATGCTGTTCTGTAGCTTCCTGAACTTATCTCCATTACTGAACAGCTGAACTTGTAGCAAAAGCATGATGAAAGTTCTTGAATAAAAGCTAGCCAAAATTCAGTTGAGTGGGGACAAAGTTGTCTTTTAACTGAAATGAGTTATTAATTTTTCTAATATTCAAGAAAGTGGCATTCTTGTATTTGATGTTGCTACAAAATGCCAACTACCAAGTGAAACTTTGTCATCAGGCCTAAGATTCTGTGTTGCAAAGCTGTAGTACAGTTCTGTGTGGCTCCAGAGGTGTTCAGCTGGCTATGCCACTTGAGAACATTTTAAAGCACAACAGGATCAGTGATAGAATGTGACTGTTTATTTAATGGTCAAAAAGATGAAAGAAGTTAGGAACTTCAGTTGTCTACTTCATTCATTGATATGTGTTTGGATTATCAAAAACTTTGTTGAGAAAGTCTGCTTTTGTCTATTCTTTGCATTTACTAATATGTTATTCTTTTTAGTAGTTTTTATTACCATTCATCTAGAAGTTTTTAATTGAAGGCTGATGTTAGACAGAAAAGGCAAAACTTTTTGAGCTTTGGTCACAATTCTTTTGTTTTAAAAACTAGTTTAATATTTATCACTTACATCACGATGTTTGTTAATGTGTTCTAGGTTTCCTCAGTGTATCTGGCTAAATGGTTGTGGATGAGGAAAAAAAACACCTTTGATAGGTAGCAGATTTAGGGCTTGATATTCCAAATTCCTCTGAAAGATCATGACTTCTAATACTGTATACTAAAAGTATTAGTTTGGTTAAGTATTCCAGCTTTTCAAAACAAGTGATCAGTTATGTAAATATCGTTTTATCTAATTGTGCAAAACTAGCTTGTATATTATAAGGTGAAGATGGTGTGAACTGTGTAAGGCTCATGAAAGTGAAGTTCAGTTTTATTTTTGCCTTGAATCTCCCCTGATAACTGCTTGCCTCTTTGAAGCTATGCTAAAGTATATGGAAGGCAGGAAGCTGATCTGGGAGAACCAGCATGGCAAATCCTACTTGACCAACTTAGTGGCCTTCTCTGATTGCGTCACTGCAGTGTTCAATGGACAAAGAACTGGCTGCAGAGTCCAGAGGGTGGTGGTCAGTGGCTCAGTGTCTGGAGGGAGGCTGGTAATGAGTGATGTCCTCCCCGGAGTTGGTGCTGGGACCAATACTCTTTAATACCTTCATCAATGATTTTGACAGTGGGGTTGAGTGCACCTTTTGCTGATGGCGCCAAGCTGTGGGGTGCTGTTGACTCACCAGAGGGATGCGATACCACCCAGAAGGACCTAAACAGGTTTGAGCAGTGAGCCCAGGAGAACATGAGGTTCAGTAAGTCTAAATTCAAAATCCTGCACCTGGGTAGAAGCAACTCCCATTACCAGTACAAGCCAGGGGATGAAATGATTGAGTGCAGCCCTGCTGAAATAGACCTGGGGGTACTGGTGGATTGGGAAGCTGGACATGAGCCAGCAATGTGCCCTTGCAGCCCAGAAAGCAGAGGTGAAATATATGCTTTAGCTTAAAGTAATTGGACAATCTTGTCCAAGAAAGAGAATTCAAAGAATGAGCAAATAGCATGTTGTGAATATCTTTTCAACTGTGGAAAGTGACAGATTATCAGTGCCCTCTTCTATTGCTATGAAGCCTTTTTGTCCAATGATGCAACTTGTTTTTAATTATGTTGGTTCATTTTTTAACTTGAGTTATAGTACTGAGTAGGCTGCAAATACTATTTTATATATTCAGTTTATATAAACCTGTTAGAAGCTGAGTTGGCACAACTTTCCTTCTAGTTTAAAACTCGAATATACAGATAAGTCTTTTTATACATGACAAAATCTAAGAAGCTGAATTATGACAGGATTTCCAGAAAGGTTTTTCCAAGTGGACTTAAATCAGATGGGTAATGTAGATAAGTACAATGCAATTTTGACAGTTTTATTTAGTTAAATAGGAGAATGGTTCTTAAGCAGTTCTCATCAGTTACTGGTGCCTTTAGTTTTTTCAGGCTTGTACCAGTTTATCCATCATTGTAGCAGTAAACATGCCTAGCAATTCAAGCTCTTTGTAGATATGTCCTGACATAATTTCCTTGTAAAACATAAGACCTGAAGTTTACATCTTGGCAAAGGCATCTGACAGAATCTGCCATTTGTCTTTTTCATTTTACAGAAATCTCAGAAACCAGTAGGGAGTCAAAAAGATTGAGAGCTTCTACTGCTTATCATGTTTTTAAATGTTTAATTTGGAAAAGTGCTGAACTCAGTAAAATGCAGAGAAGCAAGTAAAGTGCAAGAACAAACCTGCTTAGTGTAATCTTTTCAGTGCAGTAAATACTATTCTGGAAACTCACAAATCTAAATGCAAAATGCAAGTTACATATCATAGAATCATAGAATTTTTCAGGTTGGAAAAGACCTTAAAGATCATCAAATCCAATCACAACCATACTATTGTAACTCTAACAACCCTGCTCTAAATCATGCCCCACATCCAAAAGGATTTTGAACACATCCAAGGATGAGAACTCAACCACCTCCCTAGGGAGCCCATTCCAATGCCTAACAACCCTTTCTGTAACAAATTTTTTCCTGATATCCAACCTAAACCTATACTTCATCGTGAGTGTCTTTGAGAGTAATGTCATTTTGGTGATTTCACATTTTTTAAGATAAGGAGTGAAAAATATGTATGCAATTAGGGAAGGTTGTATTACTTAAGAAGGGATTTCTTAATGTGGAAAACTTGTTATTTTTCAAATATTTAAAAACAAAAGCTGTTGGGATATGGTTTTGGGGTGTGATATGCTTCAAAATTTACCTAAAGAATTTGTCTGCTTAGGCTGCCTCTGCTTTACGGAGTTGCTATCATCTGGCAGGCAGCATACACCAGTAGAATATTTTAACTAGTTTACATTCTGCTCTTCTTACAGCCTCAGCTCTGTGGGAGTAGGGGTATTTGTCCAAGCTACTGCTAGGGTTTTTCTCATTTTGACTTTTAAATACAGGAGTCACAGAATTACAGAACTGTAGGAGTTGGAAGGGACTTCTAGAATTCGAGTCCAGCCCTCATGCTAAAGCAGGCTTCCCAGACCAGGCTGCACAGGTAGGCATCCAGGCAGGTCTTCAGTATCTCCAGGGAAGGAGACTCCACGACTTCCCTGGGCAGCCTGTTCCAGTGCTCTGTCACTCTCACCATGAAGAAGTTTTTTGCATATTGGTGTGGAACTTTCTATGCTCCAGTTTATGGCCATTCCCCTTATCTTGTCCCCACAGATGACTGAAAAGAGGCTGGCTGTCTCCCACACTTAAGATACTTACAGACATTGATCATATCACCTCTCAGTTGTCTTAAGGTTGAACAGACTTGGGACTCTCAGCCTTTCCTTGTAAGAGAGGTGCTGCAGGCCCTTTATCATCTGATGGATTCTCTTCAGGAGATTCCTGTCTTCTTTATGCAGGGAAGCCCAGAACTGGACACAGTATTCCAGGTGATGCCTGACCAGGGTAGATTAGAGGGAGAGGATCAACTTCTGGTATTGAGACAGATTTAAAAAAAAAAACCCAAACTTGATTTTGTTTCTTCTCTCATTCTCTTTTCTGGTGTGATTTATCATTTTAAAAAGTAATTATAGTCCTGGCAATTGTGAAAAATCTGTTCAAGTCAAGATACTGTATAACTTTATGGTTTGGTACTGGCTAACTTCAGTGCATCTCTGGAAAGACTTCTACGAGCTTTTATAATCTAAAGGGTCTTTGCCTTCAGGACTGTGTCTATGTTACTATTCTTAATTCCATTTGCAAAGCATTGCAGGACAAGAATGTATTTAATACTTGTGTAATGTAAATTATTTCTTGCTATGTCTTCAAATTTCCTTGAAGTCTGAACAACATCAATATATGGTGCATATAGTATCACAAATTACATAATAGTAATTTTATTTTTTTTTTGCTGCAGCTAACAAGTATAAAATATAAGTACTATAGCTATATAAGCTGTCCTCACGGATACTTTTTGTTGAACTTGTCTTCACAGAATGAATGTGTGTTGGTTGGTAATTCGGATAAATGGATTTTTATTTTTGCTCAGTGCAGCACACAGTCATCTAACCAATTCCTGTGAAAGGTATTTGTGGAGTTAGTATTTATTCTGTGATGTTTTCTCCCATTTCTTGACAAAAAGCCCATCTCCCTTTTTGTTAACTAGTATAATGCAAATTGATCCTATGTTATCTCTTGATGGTCTTTCTAATGCTTTGAAATTAAGTGCTGTTTTTCTTTTATCTCCCAAGTATCTTGCCCTGATCATCATGGCCATACAGAAATCTATTCATTTTTAGCATTATGTAAGTTTCTTCCTCAGCCCATCTTTAAAGATTTTCCTGTAGATCATGTATATTAGACTTGATATGTCTTACTGTTCTCTTCTGGACTCTTTAGAAATTCCCACATGGAAGACACTCACTTCAGAGTTTGGTCCATGCTACCAGCAGTGACATCTTTTCCAAACAAGGGTTCAAGCATGTTCTTCTAATGTTTTTCTGATAGGAAAGAGACAGGTGCTGTTGATTGAAGGTTGTTTGTCTGGGTTACCTGCAGTAATCTTGCGCAGGTTGGGTAGGAGAAAGTTCATATTTCTGAGCTTTTTTCTTGCCAGTGTTTCTGTGTTTGGAGAGCTGACACTTTTGCTTGATAGTATTTTTCCTTCTTTGGCATTCCTGGTGTATTTGTTGTGGATTTTAGTTGTTTTTTTGTTTTCATATCACTTACTCTATCTCTTTAGTAAGTGTGTCTTTAGGATTTTTAGGAAATGTGGTAAATGCGTTACTTCTCACAGTGCAAATAGTAGCACTGAGTTGGCTTTAAAGCTCTGCTTGAATGCATGAGTTTCTTTTTCAGATTGAAAGACTGATAACTAATACTTCAGTATTTGTTGTAGCTGTTTTCCATCCGTCTACAGTTCTCATTGAGGACTGACACAGTGGAAAAAGGGAGAGAAAGACAAAATACTTCCTAGTGTTCACTGATTCTGTCTTGACATACTGACTTAGGAATGATTTAATTAAAAAAAAACATTCTTAAGTTTTCTTTCTCTTTTTTTCTTCGTCTCTGCGTGCTTGCATGTTGTGTCAGAACACTCACAGCAAATGTATATTCTTCCAGCATGCTTGTACAACTTTAGAGATTAAATGTGCTGTCACTTAATTTGAGTGATAAAGCGTAATCCAGTAGTGATGAAACAAGGGGAAATGGATTTAAACTAAAAGAGGGGAGAATTAGGTTAGATGTTAGGAAAAATAATTTTATTCAGAGGGCGGTGAGGCACTGGAATAGGCTGTGCAGAGAAGCTGTGGTTGCTCTGTCTCTGAGTTCAGGGCTAGATTGGATGGGGCCCTGTGAAGCCTGATCTGGTGGTGGCAGCCATGCCCATTGCAGGGAGTTTGGATCTCAGTGATCTCCAAGAACTCTTCCAATCCAAGACATTCTAAGAAGGTGAATTTCCAAATTGCACCTAAACAACTTGCATTTTTATATTAGAAAAATCTGCTCTTGATAATCAGCATTTGATAGAAAAAATATGAAACCTGGGATCCAATGGAAGGAAGGAAAGCTGTATTTCTCCTATAAGAAGGGACTTAATGTAGAGGTTTTCTGAAATAATCAGTGTTAGGAAAATACTTAATGAACATTGACTTCTGTTGCTATGTGTAAGCTTTGGGGTGGGAAAAGGGGATGAACCAGTTTTTAAGTATCTGGGAATCATAAAGTGTAGGTTTTCCTGTAGTTTATAGTGTTTGATTATTTTAACAATTATGATTAAAGGAGTTGTGCTTCCTGCATCTGTCTCTGTTTAGGAGGGAATTGTTTTCTGCTGGTAACTTAAATGGTACATGCTGTGAATGTGCTGTAGTAGCAAGTGGTTCTGTTTAAAACAGTTATAGCACTTTCCTGGTGCTGACATAAAGAATAGTCAAGCGATATGTTGAAGGTTTTTTAGATATAGTCTTCTGTCTTCACAGCTCAAAAATATGCGAAGCTGATTGATATGCTTACATTTTCCTTTAGCATATCGGCATTATCGTGCTTTGTGACAAATTGAAACTGTACTGGGTTTAATCTGTCTGTTTTAGGCAGGTGATAAGCACTGCCTCTGTGTAAGCTGACAAAAGAAATCAAAGAAGCAGTGTGTGAATATTAGACCTCACAACTGTGGCTGTATTTGCTAAAAGTAGATTCGCTGTCGAAACAGAGTTGTGATATTCTAGACCAAAAGGCAGAGTGATTTGTTGTAGAATATGCAATGCTTCAACTTATAATAAGGTTGGATAAATACCTGAGCTTAGTCCAATAGTTGGGAGACAATTCTTGCTTGTAAGACTAATTTCAAGCAGGCCCTAGGTGTATTTTACAAGTTAGGTTAATGTAAAAGTCATACACCAAGTTACTATGGCTTGTAAGTAAAATTGAGGACTATAATTTAGTGAGAAACATTCCAAGTGTTCTGTTTACTCTTCTTACTTTAGAGATTAACGTTCTCTTTCATCCTGGCATGTTATAAGCTAACGGGTTTTACTTTACAACCATAAACCTTTAGAGTTGCTGAAGGAAAGCCAATGGAAGAGAAGTAGTTCAAGAAATGACGTTAGATGAGTGGAAAAATCTTCAGCAACAGAATCGACCAAAGCATGAATTCAACATTCGAAGGCCAGAACCCACTGTTCCTTCCAAAGCAGTGGTGATTCACAAGTCAAAATATAGCGATGATGTAAGCATTATCTCTGGAATTCTGTAAACTTTGCTTTATGCTGAGGGTTAGGAAACTCTCTGTGTTTTCCACTAGTTTTAGTATAATCTGAACCCAAAATAGTATCTGAACTTTGTTACTGTAATCATGTATGCACCTTAAAGTTTGCCTTACACTTACTGTCTGTTCATTTTTCTCTCAGGTCAAAGTAGGGGTATATTTTACATGCAGGCATGTAATATATTAAGTTGTTCTGTTTTAAAATGTATACTCCTAGCAAAACAAAGCTTGTTTTCTTATTGCTGCTACACATGTAGATCTCCAGTAGTGCCGCAAGATAAATTCATCTTATAAACACTTCTTATCCTACTTTTGAATAATATTTTGCTAAATTATCAGTATATATTTGCACAGATCTGTTAAACTGGCATCTGTTTTGGCATCCTTAGTCTGGATGCTAAATGTCAATTTTTCATCTGTGCTGGACCTCAGATTCCATTGTGCACTTGGATTACATACTTTTTCCAGTTTTATGGTCCTATTTCTTAGAAGAACTCTGGAGTCCTTCTTCTATAGTGATATACTTTCTCCCCACTTCTCCCATTTTTTTTTTTTTTTTCCCACTGTGTCTCTCGGGCTACATTTCAGGAGAGACTTCTGTTTATATGATTGGGAAGTGCTGAGGAGAAGCAGGAGAATTCACTTATATTCCTGCTAGCTTAGATTTTAGATTTTGAGGTTTGCAAAAGTATATGTATGTACTTGTAACCTAGCATGATGAAACTGTGATCCTTGATTAAGGTCTGTGTGCATGTATGCAATACACATTCTATTCTTTGTCTACTCATAACACTGAAACATGCAGCTTTTTTTTTTTGTAAGTCATAATCACTGTAGGTCACTGAGCTCTTCCAGGTGCAGACAAATACAGAAGCTGCCTGCATCCTTTTTAGCATGGCTTTTGGTGCTCATGGATACCATTGCCCTTTCCTTTGGGATAAGGGGATGTACTGGGGAAAATAACTTTCACAAGTTCTGAAAATATGAGGAGTGCATGCTGTTCTTCTTGCTCCCAAACTTTCTTGGCTGGCATTACCAAATGACCTTGTCAAAATGAACATAGAAGAGATACAGAAACTGCATAACAAAGACAAGTCAAGTTCATTTTAGAATGAGGGATTTTTTACAGTATGGGATAAGTTTACAGGTATGTTAACTTCAACGCATGTTAAAATTATGGTGGGAAGCAATCTTAAACAATCTTAAATACACTAGGAATACGGAGAGTTAAAAGAGTTAATCTCATAGCTACAGACAAATATATATATGTCGGCTAGTAACCAAATGCTGTGGTTTCTGTCCTTTTAACCATTAGTTACCATTAGTTGAAGGTAATTGTAGGAGTAAGTAGGTTAGGCCTGATTCTCTGGTTCCTTAGGAAAGCCTTATAGATTATACTGCTGAAAACTTCAATACTGTGGAGCTGGTACAGCAGATCTTGCTTCAAGGACTCTCTGAGCAAACAAAACTACCCAGGCATCTGCGAGGCTGCAGCTGTCTCACTTCTTGTTCAAATGCTGTGCAAGCTGAGACTGCCTCCTATTCCAGATGTCATCTTAATTTTTTTGCTGCTTATTTTGTAATACATGCGTGTATGTAAATATGTCAGGGAGGATAGAAGGCAGTATATGGAAATTACAAGCCTTAACCATATGTTTTTTCTAGAGACAAAAGGGAGAGCTTGAAGATGATTATCATATTTTTCGAAGGGTAGTGAATGACATAACATCTCAGCTGGATATCAATTTTGGGAGTCTTTTTCGCCCTGGCTATGGATCAAGAGGAGCACGAGGTTGTGACCGTGGCAGACGAGTTGAGGAGACAGGACCTCAACCAGAAGTAATGGTAAAGTTTTCTGTAGGTTTTGTTTGCTCGGCAACATTTTTTGGTGGTGGTTGTCCTTTCCCTCTTCCCCCTCTATTCTGGAGGGATTTCTCGAGAACAGAACCTTGTTACTGTTACCCACCTCACAGTATGTTGGCCTGGTTATTTTCAGTTCCTGACTCATACCAAGTTGCTTAAAATGAAATACTGATTCTGGCTGAAGAACTCTAACACATACATTTCCAAAGGCTGGATTACCAGCTACTGTAATGTTAACTAGAGGAAAGGATGCAACAAACATTTCTTTCCTCATTGAATGTTTGATATAAATTAGGAAGTTGTTAACATGACTGAAGACTTACTATAGAGCAAGAAGTTTCAGTTCTGTATAGAATCATAGAGTCCTCAGAGTTGGAAGGGACCTCTGAAGGCCATGTGGTCCAGCTCCCCTGCAGTGAACAGGGACAACACATCTAGATCAGGCTGCTTTGCCTTTAGATTCTCCAGGCACAGTGCATCAACCATATCACTGGACAACTTGTTCTAGTGCCTCACCATCCTCACTGTAAAAGATTTTATTCCTTATCTCTAACCTAAAATTACCCTCCCTGTGCTTGAAGCCATCTCCCCTCCTTCTGTCACCACAGACCTTGCTAAAGAGCCTGTCTCCTTCTTTCCTGTAGCTGCCCTTTAGATACTGAAAGGCCACTATCAGGTAACCTTGCAGCCTTCTCTTCTCCAAGCTGTAGAGCCCCAGCTCTCTCAGCCTGTCCTTGTAGGAGAGGTATTCCATTCTGTGGATCAGTACTCTTAGAGTATTCTAATTACTGAACATGAGATGAGTAAATCTGGCATACAAGGAAGACAGAATCCATCTAAGTTGAAAAAGACCTTCAAGATCATGAAGTTCAATTATCAATCTGATCGATGGAGTCCCTTCACTAGACTATTTCCTATGGTGCCATGGCCACATGTTTCCTAAATACCTCCAGAGATGGGGACTCCATCACTTCCCTCTGCAGCCTGTTAGAATGATTGAAATGTTATACCTGGAATGAAAATTCTGTCTGCTAAAATACTGATTTTAGCTGAAGCTGAACTAAACTTCTGCACTGCTTGGCATTATGTATTTTATTCGTCATAAAAATACTTGAACTTAAACACTAAAAAAGGATTTTCAGGTAGTCTGCAAAGTGAAGAGTTTAAAATGCTCTACTACTACAAGTAGTGGTCATAAAATCACACAGTAAATGTGATAACATAATTAGACTGAATATATTCACTGTCCTTTGTTAGAAATGGGCTTAATATCTTTATACTTTGTTAGACCGTTGAGTCATTGTCTTTAGAAAAGAGAGAGGGCTGTGACTTTTCTATAAAGTTTCATCAAGGTTAGGTTCTTTGTGGCTTAAATAGTGTGTAAACGGCTCAGGCAATAACTTAAAAGATGAAGTTTGCATGCTTCCATTTATTTTTTGCCAGCACTAACTATTCAGTTAAACTGAATCAGTACGCCTATTCTGTCAGAGGAGCTGATACTGACATTACAGACTGTTTTTAAAACTGTCAGAACTTTAGTCTCTCTGTAAACAGTGGGCATCCCAGTATGTGAATGGGACCATTTCACATGTGCAAATAAGCTCTAATTATAACAGCATCTTTAATTCAATCCAAATTTAATTGCTTTCTAAAGTGTTGATCTAAAGAACTTCCACTGGCTTTTTAAGAAGGAAAAAAAAGGAAAACCTGCTTACCTAAAAATTACACCTTTATTCTTCATAATCACTGGTGTTACAGTTAGTTGTACTTAAAGCAGTAAAACAGTTACATTAGGGAACTTACAGAATGGTATGGAAAAGATTTGGTGTGATGTGTTTGCTTCATCTGAATGAAAAAGGCTCTTTGTATCACAAACTACAGGCATATTCAGTATCACAGAATCACAGAATTGCCAGGGTTGGAAGGGACCTCAAGGATCATGAATCTCCAACCCCCCTGCCACACGCAGGGCCACCAACCATCCCACCTAATGCTAGACCAGGCTGCCCAGGGCCCCATCCAATCTGGCCTTGAACACCTCCAGGGACGGAGCATCCACAACCTCTCTGGGCAGCCTGTTCCAGTACCTCACCACTCTCTCCGTAAAGAATTTCCCCCTGACGTCCAACCTAAATCTCCCTTCCCTCAACTTAAAACCATTTCCCCTTGTCCTGCTGTCACTCACCCTTTCAAAGAGTTGATTTCCCTCCTGTTTGTAGGCTCCCTTTAGGTATTGAAAGGCTGCAATGAGGTCACCCCGCAGCCTTCTTTTCTCCAGGCTGAACAAGCCCAGCTCCCTCAGCCTGTCCTGGTATGGGAGGTGCTCCAGTCCCCTGATCATCTTTGTGGCCCTCCTCTGGACCCAGTAGCCTTAGAAAGTTTAAAAAAAAAAAAAAAAAAAAAAAAAACACAAAACCCCCCACCAACTTAATGATGTTTCTTCTAAAAAAAAAAAAGTTGCGGGTGAGATTGTTACACTTTCTTTCCCTATCCCACCTTAATACTACAAAATATGTTCTACTCAGTATTGCAAATGTTCATTTGTATCAACTGCAATAGTCATAATTTCTGAGATAAAATATTTCTGTGATAGAGATGGTTATGAAGCATTTACTTTAAATAAAACAGTGGATTTTTTCAGGATAAATGCGCACTTATATGTAGCTTTCAGATGCTTTAAAATCTATTCACTTCTATAAAACTTCCTTTCTCACTCTATAGGTACAAATTTTTGCTCCAAATCCAGATGACCCTGAGGATTTTCCTGCTTTAACTTGAAAGAAATATCATGAATGGTATTATCAATGTAGCTTTGGTGCAGCTCTAAAGAAACCAGTTCTGTACTGGTGTGGGAAGAGTCCAAGTCTACTGGAAAAGCTGTTCTAGTTGATGCGATTTTTTTGTGTGTGTGTGTGAGATGTTTGAAACTATTAATGGAAGTGAGCTCTGGAGATAACAGTGGTCTGGAATTCTGTTATAGGGCCTAGTACCTGCTGCCATTTGTGAAAGCTGTATGAAGGCTTGCAGTACTCAACTGTGTAAGGCTTTGAATGAAGATCAGGAGTACAGTGCTTAAAAATGTATATGTAGAGACTGTGTCAAGTTCTTCCTGGCAACTTGGTGAAACTGTATGACATGGTTTGCCATCAGGAGTCCGTTTCCCTTTGAGATGTGAAAGCTACTTTCTGTTTCTTTGGTAGAAACAAGTTGCAGTTCTTGAGAGTTTGGCAAATAAAACACAGTGCTTACTGGTTTGAGTTTGGGGTATTATTTTCATGAGTCAGAGACTGAAGCCACTGCTATCTGGCAACAAAGAGCTGACCTTACATGCCTGAAAAATATCCCTAAACAGAAATGATTTTAAGAGAGCAGCATAGTTGCTTTTAACAGGTGACTTTAACAAGTGTTTGTTCAGTAAGGAAATGCTATTTGCAACTACTTTTGAGATGTTGTCAGTGAAATAAAATAATTTTGAAGTAAAGACGGAACTAAGTCGTTAAAGAAGAAATTTGTTTACCACAAGAGAAACTACAAACTAAAATAGTAAATATCTCAAGTTGGAAGGAGTCCACAGTGATCACTGTGGACGTCTCCTGCCTCTACCCAGGACCACTCAGAATTCAAACCCCGTGTCTGCAAGCAGAGTCCAAGCACCTTTTGAAATCCATCAGCCTGGATTTCAAATGTTGTTGGGGAACCCATTCCAGTGCCTGATCACCCTTTCATGAAGTACCTTTTCCTAATACCCACTCTACCCCTTCCCTGACAGAGCTATGTTTCTTGCCTTAACTAATAGTTCGTGTGGCATTGAGGATGACACGGCCTTGTCCTTTCCTTGCAGTCTTCCTGTTTCTGAACCTGAGCCAAATACCCTCAGCTGCAGCTTGAAGCTTACTCCTTAGCTCTGGCTATTCTTCTAATATGTTTTTGAGTGGTTCTGCCAAAAATGGCTGTTTGATGCTTGTGAAACATAAATTATTCTTGATGAGAGACTTCATCTCTGCTCTTGTATCCTGACACAGATGGTGCTTCTCTTTCCCTATTGTTAAAATCTTTGACAGTTGTTCCCTATTGTTCTGGAACGTTGTATTGCAGTACTCCATGCCATGTTGAACTGCAGCATAAGGACACTTGGATGTTGCTAATCCAGTAACTATTAAACTTAGAATTTCATTTACAATTTCATTCAAATTTCTAGATTTCGTACAAATATGAAGATGATATTCCACTGTCATCCACACACACAATCCTCCTTTTAATATTAAATTTTTTATAATTGTGAAACTTCCTTTTGGAGGGCTCTGACTGCATCTGTGTTTTTGCTTGCAATTGTTTCAATCATTGCAGAGATATTTACTGTTGTTTTTTTTCCAGTTTACTGACTCCTAGCCCCAGGACGAACCATCTGGCAAAACAGTGAAATGCAGTGTTACTTTTAGTTGGAGAATTATTGCTTTTGCTTCTTTTCAGGAAGGTTGTATTTGTTCCTCACTTTGCAGATTAATATTTACTTTAGGGACTGTAGTTGCTGGAGTGCAAATTTGACAGTAGTGCTTTTCTATGTTCACGTATCCAATACTAGCCTTTTTCTCTGGGGACCATCCAACTGCAGTACTTCCTTCCTATAGCTGAGACACACGTTGAATAATTTCCTACAGAAATGTATGGTTTAAGCAATCTAGTTTATTTTGAATGTTTGGGAGTTACACCTTCGTATGCATGTGTAATATTTTTCATTTAATACTGGGACACTTATTTCCCACTTGAGGATTTCTGGTTTTTCATCTGTATCAAATGTCTTTTACCATTAAGTGTATCCAAAAGACATGAGAAGGAATAGGGGTGCTGGTTAAAGCCACTGCTTTCTCTGAGTGTTCTGGAAAGTGAGGACAAACCACACAACTGCTCTTATGGGCTCTTTTAGCTATCCATTAAGCCAATGTGATGTGTTTATTTTCTTCCCAAGAGGAAGACCAAAACACTAGCAGTCTCATATCAGTAATTGACATTGTGAAATTCAACACAGTCACAACTTCCTCCTCTTACCCAATTGACCATTGTTTCGAAATAAATCTGAATTTCTACAAAGTAAATTTAAAGTTATAAGAGTTAACACTACCTAACATGAAATAAGAACAATCCTTGAGGACAATCAGACTCACTATAGGCACTTTCTGAACTCCAGATGCAGTTCATTAGTCTAAATTTCTTCTAGAGATCTATGTTAAGTTCCCTGATAGGGGTCAAGGTCTATGTTAGGGCATGCAGATGAGATACCTGTGTAGAGAAGACAATATGAAAGGTCAACAAGTACTCCCTTATCAACGTATTACTTTTATACTGCATATGTTTACTTTTATGCTGCATCTAGTTAATGTAGTAGGGTTTCCAATACAAAATCTCAAAAGAACTTATACCTTGTTATTATAAACCTCATATGCAATCTCTATCAACTGCAGAATTGACAGCCCCGCCAGTCTTCTGCAGTTTCCTCCTTGTATCTCATGCTGACAGCATATTAAACTTTCTCTTATTTGCCTCATCATCTAGATTTAAAGATGTACATTTTGTTTCCACTTCACACAGCCTTTTGTGAAATACACAAAGAAGGATTTTTTCTGGGCCTTGTCTACCTTTTATGTTTTGTTATGTTCTTTGGCTTTGGCACCTCATGTAAAACTAATTGATAGTGTTTCAGTGTCATCCTTCCTCCCCCTGTATTTAGATCCCACTCTGGATCTTCCTTAGTGGACAAATAATCCTTTGAGTCTTCCCATCTTCTGAGACCCTCCTCTTTGCCTCGCAGTCATTCCCTTTCCTTATGTGGTCAAAAGTGCACTTAATATAGCCCTTGCATAGGGGCTATATTAACTTGGGTTAAGTATCAGCACTATCAATTCTGATAACTGATACATCCTGTCAGAACTTCCTCCATCTGATCTCGCAGACTGGGATTCAGTGCATTCAGCAAGTAGGGTGTTGTGAAGAGTACATGCACAAAGATGGGTGTTCCCTCTGGACCTGCAGCCTTCCTCAGGGGAGCCTGAACAGTAGGCTGTGCTGCCTGTCACCTTCTTCAGCTGGATACTGCTCTGACATTCTCATTATCCCATCCTGAGACAATTCTGGATTGCTGTAAGGAGGAGGGGCTGTTCATGCTACTAACATCTGCACATCCTCAGGATAATCCCCACGTTTTTTCCCCTTAATGCACCCACTGCAACATCCTTTCCCATCTTTTGCAAACATCGTAATTCCTGCAACAGACATCACGCCTCTTCGTAACTTGCATTGCTTCTGCATCACAATATAAGGCCATAAAGACATCTACAAAACAGCAGTAATTGCAATATCATAATTAAATGATCCATTTTCTAGAAAAAAATCACTGTCATTCAATTTTTAGTGCTACCACCATTGATTACAACATTTTTTCATTTTGTCTTTAATCATAGAGTCCCCTTCAAGCTTACTTCCGTTCTTATGCAGAGCAAAGAGCAATGGCCAAGATTTATCTCAATCCCGTGTTTCCTGAAAAGAATTTTCTTACTCATTTTTTCCTGCACAGTGCAGTTGAGTCTGTTTGAATTCTGGAAAGAATTGTATCACAGATCTCATGTTACTCTTTAATTCATGTACAAAAAGGCACTTTACTGTTAGAATTACTGTAGTGGCCTTGGAAAAACTACAACATCTCAGCTTTGCATTTTAGATGAATGCAAATATATTGAGCTTATGGTAAGATTTTGTTAGCAGAGGGCTGTGGAGAGGGGGAGCAGGGGACAGCAGTGCCCGTGTCAGAGCACAGTTCCAAAGGCTTTCATTGCTGCAAGAGCTGAGCCATGTGCTCTGGAATAGCAGATCTAAGAGGAAAAACTGCTGCACAACAGCAGCTGGGAGAGAGGAGTGAGAGATGTAAGAGAAGCAGCCCTATAAGCACCACCATCAGTGCGAAGAGGGAGGGAAGGAGGAGCACCAGGTGCAGAGAAGTGGCTCCCTGCAGCTCAGAAAGGCCCACGGAGGAGCAGACTGTTCTCCTGCAGCTCGTGGGTACCACACGGAGCAGATTCCACACGCAGTAGTGGGAGACACCACGAAGCAACAGTGGATGAGGCCTGAAGGAAGTACATCTCACAGATGCTCCCATAAGAGCAGCCCCGAGCGGAGCTGGAGCCCTGGAGAGCAGCTCGCTATAGGACAGGAGGGCTGGGGGAGCTGCAGTCTGTGCAGCAGGGCCTGAAGGGTGGGCCCCACGTACAGAGCCGTGTTTGAGCCGTGCTAGGAGGGCTGCAGCCTGAGGGTGCACTCAGTCCTACTGTCTTTGATGTTGATAAAGATGCTGAAGAGCATTAGGCCCAAGACAGATCCCAGGGGGACACCGCTCATAGCCAGTCTGTATCTAGACGTAGAATAATCAATTGGATTCTTATAACGTGCTTAAGCCATTCCTTTTTTCGTTTTGTATAGCTGTCACAGGAGCATGTGCATATATAGACGCATTCATACAAGGAGTAATGCACTCACAAGCATAAATGCAGTGTTGATAATAATGTAATGTTGACATTATTACTGGACCAACCACTGAACGTGCTCCAAGGTTATCTGCAGAAAGTGTACATTCATATATGTCACTGAGTGACAGGCATAGAATTAGAGATCTTCTCTTTCAGTAACCTGCTGGGCAAGAATGGAACAATTTGTGGGGTAGGATCTTCAGTCTTTTGACTCAAAAGAAGTAACAACTGCCACTCTTCAACTCTGCTACTCAGAATTAACATGAAGTCCATAAAACCTTCAGGTTTTCAAACACCTTTTTGAAGATGTGATGCAACGAATGTTTCAGGTGGCTGAATGTACAGAGCAGCTTTAGGTACTGCCTCACATTTAATGGCAGCATTGTGATTGACACCAGTTTAACGACTTAAATAAGGTTTTTGCTTTCCTGAGTAGCCAGTGTCAAAAAAATGTTCTGCGTTCAGCTCTCTGTTTTATCTGTAGCTGACTGTGAGCCGCTGTCAGCTCTAAGCAAAGGTTTCTCTGTCTAGATTTGTACACTAGTAAGTACCTGACTAAGAGATAATGAGTTTTGCATAACACAATGAAATGTCAGGACAGCTTTTCTGTAGGGTAAAGGAAGCAGACACAAGGTCTTGGATTACTCTCTTCTGACAAGAAAAAGTAAGTTGACACACTACTTGTATAATCCAGGAATTCTGAGCTTGTTGGTGGGGAGTTGTTTGGTTGCATTTTTTGGGTTTTTTTAATAGATCATATCCTGTTTTCTGATGTTTTTCCTGACTCTAACAAAGGTTGTGTGCATTGGGAAGGAGAAAAGGTAACTTTCCGGTGGACATTTTCTATGAAATAAGTGAAATGTGGGAATTCTTTAAGTATGGGAGCAACATTAAACATTTTATGTCAGAAACAAAGTAGAGAGGCAGAAGTGGAAAAAAAGCACCTAGAAGCATGTCACCAGGAGTATTGCATGATGTAAAGACACAGTCCTAGAAGCATGACGTTTCGGGAAGAACAATGAATTGTGCTGACAGAACTCAAATGTGGAAGGAAAGCCAGGTGGGCCTAGTAGGAGACCTGAAGAAGGGGCAATGAGGAAGCTGAGCCCTTTCACTATGAAGAATAGCATGGAAACAAGCATCGTCTTTAATGGCAATCTTCCCACTATTAGCAGCAGTCATTTTGGGTTTTCCTGCACTAACAGTATCTGCTGCCAAGGAGACTTTCATGTCTGCTCCCTCTGTCCTGTTGGCATAAGAAGTTTGGGACTGGGCTTTTTATTGTGTTGATGGCATAAGTGGTGTGCAGCAGATGAGGGAGTTGGAAGAGCTGGGAGTCAGCGATGGCTGTGAGATAGAAGTGGTGTGTGCCTGCTGGTATGCAGCCACTGCATGCATCTGCAGCTGGGTGACCAACAGCAACTGCTGCTCAGGCTGTCTGGGCAGTGCAGTCTTTGCCAGATTTGTAGCAGCCTTGTATATTGGGAAGGAGTTTGAAGAGGGAAAGCAGTTATTTAAGGGATGGAATTTCTGGATTTCATTCACCCTGTCCCTCATGCAAAAATAAATAAAAAAACAAAGCACCTTCCTCTTAACTATTTAGTTTTAAAACTCGCAGTGTTTCTGTTTTCAGTAAGCCCAGCCTTGAATATTTCTAAAGACAGCACATCACTTTTGCTGCAGTGTTATCTGCTCCTACATGGACTGCGTAGAACCTGTAAAGGAGGCTGAAGGAGAACCTGCAAAGGAGGCCAAATCAAAGTAAGCTTCAGAAATACTGTACACAGATTATTCTTGCAGTGCATAACATTGCCAAAACTTTAGCCTGTGTCACTGTTCAGCTGTTCTCTGTATTGTGCTTTGGTCCTTTGCCTTTTTTCCCTGTCCGGTGCCTGTGCTGTGCTTGCATCTCTACATAGGGATTAGCAGTGTTTTGCTGTGGTGACCACATGCAAATGCAGACATATCCCAAGCAGAGCCTTTTGTTCACTCTTCAGCAGGCAACTAGCAAAGGAAGAAGTGGTTTAAACATTTATATAAGCATAGAAAGGGTGGCCTTACAATTGATGAATATCTCTTTCTGGAGCAAATGACAGTTTACTCATCTGTCAAATAGGTTCTGCCCAAGGTGTACATGCTTTGCTTTTTCTTAAATATGTAAGGTAAGAATAAATATTGGAATAAATATGTACCTCTCCTCCTTCCTTGTCCTTGTCCTTGTCCTTGTCCTTCTTCTCCTTCTCCTTTCTCCTTCTCCTCTTCCTTCTCCTTCTTCTCCTCCTCCCTTCCCTTTTCATGGACTAAAATAAATCCTCATAACTTAGGTAAAAATAAATGATTTTAAAAATTTGTTTTGAGAAATCTTCACTTCCATGTGGTAAATGGTATTTCAAATTCTACCGATTTCCAAAAAAAGGAGTGCTACTCTATCGTACATAAAGAAGGCAAATTAACTTAGAAGCCAGTTGTTCTAGTTTAACCATGTTGTTTTTTACTGGTTAAGCGTCCGAACCATTTGAGTACAATTACTGTTATATTCTGAAGTCAGTTTGAGGGGAACACAGAGCCAAAAATTGTTTTTATAATGCAATATTTTGAGATTTGTGCTTTTTAATTAAAAAACTTACTTTTTTAGGCAAGTGAGATTCTTTCATTATTCCTAGGAGCACAAAGTTGTTCTGATTTCCTTCAGAATGTTGGAAATAAAAATGAACACACAAACTTCTGATTATTATTTTTAATTTTATGTAATTCATGTTTACAATTCTCACTATTCAATATTTTGTATAAAACCAAATACAATATGCACTATTTTCAAATGAGACACAAATGCATATTGAGCTATTTGATATTACAAGATAATATGAAGCTTTATCTTAAAAATACCTCCAGCAAAATAAACTCCCATTCTGTCAATCCAAGTTAAAAAAATATGATTAGAAATATACAATTTAAAAATAATCAAGATGAATAGTACTCATTAGTCAAAGACTTCTAGATCTTGACAGTCTGTACACGAGTTTACACAAGACACAGTCTGCAAACTACTAATATAAAAATTGCAGTGCAACAAATCGGTGAATGTAACTTTTTCTTCTCCGCATTTTAATGCATGAGTCTCTACAAATATTGTGTTTTTTTGTTTTTTGTTTTTTTTTTTAAAGCAGCACTTCTTCTATTGTCCTGGGGCAAAAGGACACGGTCTGATTTAACTTCTATTACCATACTGATGCTGTAATGGAAGCTAGCAATATGACGTAAGGTACCCAACTATTGAATATGTTGCAGAGATCACAGAAGAATCCATCTTGCGTGGTGGAAGAGTAGAAAGAATTTTTAAGTTCAACCAAAACTGCTAGTTGGTAATAGCAGAAATAAGTTCCTTCAGCCGCTCTGTTGCACTGCTGTCATACATGTGCTCCTCTTTGGCACACAATACTGCACATTTCAAAACAGACTTGGAAACCACAGACTCCCCCACCCATGGCTACTACTCTTCATAATTGTACTTAAGACAGCTTTGGTATGGCATAATAAACATAGATGACAAAATACTAAAAACTTGGACAGACAAAGCAATATAATTAGATGAGACACAATGAGCTAACAGGTTAATTCACCATGTAAGATTGCTTGGAGAGTTTTCATATTGATGTCTGATACTCTGACACTTTGGTGTTTCTCAGCATGATACTCATTGTTGGATGGGGTAGCCTGAAACATATTCACAGCAAACAGATTTGGTTTAACTTGAGTTGCCATGCAGTGTGCAATTTATGCAAATTTGCTTCGGATTAACTTCTAAGTACTAACTGCTTTGCTGATTACTTTAAAAAATGGAAATTCCAACTCAGAATGTTGAATGACTGTGGAATATACTGATAAATTTTAGATTAAGAAGTTCAGCTAAGAGAACAGTAAGGCCAAAAACAATATCAATAAATCTTACTTGTTTTTAACTCTCATCCTTACATCTCATTAGTTTCAGTTTTCCCTCCTGCTTTTTAAGACTTGCAAGTAAGTTCACTCATAAAATTTTCAAGATGAAATTTTTCTTTAAAAATAAAGAGATTAATATTTGTGCAACCATATATTGCCATTTTGGTGAAGGAGGTAAAAAAAAAAAAAAAAAGGAAATAAAATTTTTATCACTATTAGGGTGAATTCTGTCCCATTTTTTGGGTGGTTTTCACCTAGAAGAGAGTGGAAGAGATTGTTAAGATTAAGTGGAAAACAAAAAAACAAACAAAAAAACAGGGTATAAGCCTCAGTGCTCCTGATCTTGCACCATACAAACCTATTTTGTGCTCATATTTGCAAATCTGGAGTATGCATACATACATACATATATATATAAATATACACTCACAGATGCTGTCACCATATATTTTACATTCTGCCTCCCCTCCAACTCTTCTTTGGCCAAAAAAACGTATTCAAACCCATGTGTGGTTATTCATAGTGGCACTGAGAAGCCACTGGTGTAACAGAACACTTCCTTTCATTTGAAAAGAATCCTTTCTTCATAGAAAGAAAATTCTCCCCTTTGCAAATATCATCAGGATCTTTTAAAAACTTAAGTTATTCTGTTTCTAAAATTCCCAGCCAAAAATGACTTGGAGGTACTGGTGGGTGGCAATGACATGAGCATGAGCCAACTCTGTGCCCTGAAGCCCAGAAAGCCAACCATACCTAACTGCATTGAAAGAGGCATGGCTGGCAGGGTGAAGGAGGTCTGAACACCTTCCTTTCAGTGTCTAAACAGAAGCTACAAGAAAGAAGGGGACTGACTTTTTAGCAGGCTCTGTGGTGAAAGGACAAGAGGAAATGGTTTCAAACTTAAAGAGGGTAGACTTAGGTTGGATATAAGGAAAAAGTCTTTTACAGTAAGGGTGGTGAGGCACTGAACAGTTTGCCATGACATGTGGTGCATGCCCCATCCCTGCAGATGCTGAAGGCCAGGCTGGACCAGTCTCTGAGCAACCAGATTTAGCTGTAGATGTCCCTATTCTCTCCTGGGGAGCTGGACTACATTACCCTTAAAGGTCCCTTCCAACTCTAAGGATTCTATGATTCTGTGATTCCAGATCTCCTTTTCTATTCCTCTCTTCTATAAGAGTTACAAAATGAAGAGAGAACTGTATTCCATCTGAGTCTATGTGGCAGCAGTTCTCATTTGAGGGAAATGCAGCTATAAACTTCCAGTAAGCTAGGATGCCTCACTTCAAAGCAAGCTTTTGAGATATATTTCATAATGTGAATGCAGAAGGGAAAAAACGTTATGAGTGTTTGAAAATCTTGTAGTGGATGAAAATTTCAATCTCAGATTGCTCAAAAAATTTCACTGCTTTTAACTGAGAACTAAGCAATAGTTTTTTAATCACTGTAATTAGATGTTCCCACCTGTATCTGCTCCTGAGTTCCATTATCAATTTCAGTTGTATAGGAAGTGTATATTTCCTTTTTTTTTTTAAATGTGCTGAACTCATTGAGTACTTTCAAGCAAAAAAAAACAGTAACATTCATAACTTATTACACCTACCAATAAATCCTGGCAAAAAAAGTCTTATCTTTCAGATATGGTAATCTAAAGATTCATCTAAAAGATCTGAAGATATGAAAAAAAAGAGTAATGACATTTCACTGCTTTAAATGTTTTTCCTCCTTCCTACAATCATACTGGATTTAAAGCAATTACAAATAGGTAAAAGAGCCAGTGGTTGGGAACAACTGAAAATCTATCGCTATTAAAAACAAGATAATTGCTTTCAGTTGGCTTTTTTTCTTTTTTTCTTTTTTTTTTCCAAAATTAAAATAAAAAAGAAATCACAGTCTTTGAAAATAAAGCACTCTTTGGTGAACAATAGTTATTTTGTGTTCTCAACACCGGGACTTCATAAAAAAAAACATCATATAAAATAAGAAAGAATACCAGTTAACACAAGAGAGTACCAATCCTATTAGTAAAAAGCCTCTGTGGTAGAGTTTCAGTCTCAAGTGGGGACTTGAGCCCAGTCTGAATGAACAACATAGATTTACATATTAAAAACTCCCACCATTTTCTCACTTCTGGTGGTCAGCAGCTGTGATTGCCATCACATTTTATGCACATGCATCATATATGGTAGGGAGCCCTCTTTACAATAGAGAGCTCAAGTATTTACACCTGAGTCTGAATTTACACATATTTTGTTGGTTTTGCTTGAGGAAGCATTAATAATTAAGAGATTGTATACCAAGCATGTTGCCAGTTTTATTTTACAAGTATGAGTAAGTTTCTTCTGTTTAAATGGAGCCAAAGACATCTTCCTAGAACTGCAATCAAGTGTCTTCAAGTTGTATCTCCTTCATGCCTGGATATCCCCTTTCAACATTGCTTGCTGATTTGAAATTTTAACGCAATACTGTTCTAGTTCTTGTGATGGACTGGCTGCTGAAATAAAACATATTTGAGGAAAAAAATTTAAATGTGTACTCAAAAAATTATTTGAAGCTAACATTGTTGGCAAGATAAAACAAACTATATTTCAAAAAAGAAACATTGTAAAAGTCATGGCATTTAAAAACAGCAGTATCAGTTGTAAAGAAAGCACAGAGCAGTGTGTTCACAGAGAATACGAAGAAAGGCTCAGTTTCATACAAAAAAGCAACAGAAGATAAAAAGTACCTTAATTTCATTAAGTACAATTGCTATAAAGTATTCATTTTCCTTCTCTCCCTCTGAAGTATCAGACTTCAGGAAAAGTAGAAAGAATAGTAGAGAAACATTAATATTTTTCAAGCTAGACTTAGATTACATAGATAAGCTCTGAAATGCTGCAGGCAATTTTCAGTGTATGAACAAGGGTGCAGATGGCTCCTTTTACAATTTCCAATAAAGTAAAAGCACGTAAGATTGTAAAAGCATAATCCTCTCTTGTTAAAAGAAGTAAAATAATCTATACCACAGTTTTCATACATTTTCTCCTGTCCTCTCCAGTTTTTCTTTTTTTTTGTAATAACTTGACCTCCATATTCTCTTTAGCAGTTCTATCTACCAAAATTCTTTGACCGTTCTAGATTTCACTTCTAACCAATTACTTGTTATGTACATAATTCCAAATTTGTAAAATGATAAAACAGAGAAAACTGCTTCATTTGGGCCTTACTATGTTTCATTTGGTCTGGGAAATTCTGGAGTATCAATACGTTGACCAGAATGCACAGGGTTCTTATCCTGCAGAGAACACAGGTTTGCTATGCATTTCTGCTAGTCCATCTATCTGTCCAAGAAGAATGCTATTGCAGTCCTTCACGTACTTTGGGATCAAGTCTAGAGAATGATTATTTATGTTAAGAGTTAAGATTTTGAGATCCTCTTCCATCTCATCTTTCAGCTGATATAGCACACTGTTCTACTAAAAGTGATTTGATAGCAAGAAAGTGAGGAGGGAAAAAGGAGAGGAAAATGACCCGTCTGTCCTAAAGATGATCTGGTATATGCATTCTGCTAAGATACAAACACTAACAGGCTTTGTTCCCAGTAACTCGAAAATTTACATCCTCAATGGAGAAAAAAAGATTAGAACAAGGACATCCACAGAAAAAAAAACTGTGGAGAATGCTTTAGTCATGCAATGTCTTGCAGTTACACAACAGTGTTATTTCAGTCACAAGAGATAATGTGTTATGCCCACCAGTACTGGCCTTTGTAGATGGCAGCTGACATCTCGAGACATTCCACAACGGAAATACAATGAACATTATGAGCAATATACTGAAATTCTCTAAGACCGCTATGCAAAACCAGAATAAAATATTTTAACTGCAAATGGCTATTTTGGCTGAAGTATCATTCTAGGGACATTTTGTATGATAGCATCCAACAGTTTGAAGGATGAAAAGGTAAACTAAGATCTGCTGATTATGCTGCATTATGATGGGTCAAAAAAGTGAATAATCTGGAGTAAAACTGACTAAAATGGCCTGGAGCATCAACAAAAAAGTTTTGTATATAAATTGTGCAATATGTTTCCACTGGAATACAACAGACCAGCAAGAGAAGAAAAGAATAAAGGTACACATTAATATCAGACACTCAGAGAAAGCAACAGAACCTTGACAAAGATGGATGTTGGTTAGGATACAATCTCAATTTTTTAACAGTAAGTATTTCCCTCTACACTGCATTCAATTTATCTGGAAAAGGTCCATCTATTTACGTACTCTGAGGTAATACAAACTTCACAGACTTCAACTGGGTTGTGGCAATACTTATCAGTACAAGCTGGAGTATTTAAGAATAGAGCACAGTCCTGCTGAAAAGGACCTGATGATACTGGTGGATGGTAATCTGGACACAAGCCAGCAATGTACTTCTGCAGCCCAGAAAGCCAAACATATCCTGGGCTGCATCAAAAGAAATGTGGCCTGCAGGTTGAGGGGAGTGATCCTGCCCCTCTACTTTGCACTCGTGAGGCCTCACTTGGAGTACTGTGTCCAGATGTGGAGTTCCCAGCACAGAACAGACATGGCCTTGTTGCCAAGGGATGTAACACCTCCCCTATGAGGACAGGTGGAGAGAGCTGGGGCTGTTTGACACGGAGTATTGAAGCAGGTGCAGAGGAGGGCCACAGAGATTATCAGAGGGCCAGAGCAACTCCTCTATGGGGACAGGCTAGGAAAGTTAGGGTTCTTCAGCCTGGAGAAGAGAAGAGACCTTATAGCAGCCTTCCAGTACCTGCAGGGGGCCTACAGGAAAGCTGGAGAAGGACTTTTTGTAAGGGCAGGTAGCAAAAGGAAAAGGGGAAATGGCTTTAACTGGAAGAGGGTAGATTTAGACTAGATATTAGGAAGAAATTCTTTACTGTGAGGGTGGTGACACCCTGGAACAGGTTGCCCATAGAAGTTGTGGATGCCCCCTCCCTAAAAGCATTCAAGACAAGGCAGGACAGGACTTTGAAAAACCTTGTCTAGAGGGAGATATACCTGCCTATAGCAGTTGGGGTTGGAACTAGATGATCTTAAAGGTCCCTTCCAACCCAAATCACTTTATAATTCTATTACTCTGTGATTCAACCCGAAGAAGAGGAGGCTTCAGGGGGGCTTGACAGCAGCTTTACAATATGTAAAGCGGGACTAGAAGAAAGAAAGAACTTTTCAGCGGTGCCTGCTCTGACATGACAAGGGGAAATGACTGTAAAGTAAAGGAGGGAAAATTTAGATTGGATATAAGGAATAAGTTTTTGACAATAAGGGTAGTGAGGCACTGGAATGGGTTGCCCAGAGAGGTTTTGCATGCTCCATTCTTGGAGATATTCAAGGCCGGAACAGGCTCTGAACAACAGGCTCTGAGTGGCCTAGCTGCAGATGTCCCTGAAAAAGGACGAAGAAAGAAAGCAAGGCTTAAAAAAACTGAGTAAGGTTTTGCCCAACACTCTAATAAAAGGACACCTACAGGATTAATAGCAAGGTACTAAGTGGAAATCTGGGATATGTACAGTCTTACTGAAATAGTCTTTAGAGGGATGAGTATCCAATTAATTCTCTAAGATAAAAAGATAATTAAGAACTCCAGAACTGTGACAACAAATATTTAGGGCTACTTTGACTATGTGATCCAAACATAAACTCACTGACACTCTTCTATCTCAAATGTTACAAGAAACAGTATATGGAATTAAATATTTGGAGTAGAAGTTTTAGAAAAGGCATTAAAACAGGAAACGCTTTATGAAATCTGAGGTAATTTGAAACCTGATCGTTGGTCCTCTGAGTCATAAATCTGTCAACACTATATAGCATTTCTTTCAAAATAACTGAAATCTTCCTTGCTTTTCAGTTTAGGGATGTTGTATCCTCATATGGATAGGTAGTCTGATCCCCCACAACACAAACGTCTACTTGAAGGTGTGTTTTTCAGGAACTGAATCTGTGTGTTCAATCAAGTATACTACTACGAAGAGCTGCAAGTAGATTAAAACTCATGAAGAATAAAAACAGCTGTAGGAATCCCATCAGTCTATCAGGAGCAAAACTGACATGGTGAAAACAATGTAGAATGGAGTTTCTCAGTAAAACTCCAAAAAAGACTTGAGGTTTTTAGGAAAATTAAGTATTTTTCTACATGTTATATGAATCAAAATATAATTCGTAAAGTTCATATAGCTGCTGATGAAAATTCTGACTAGCACATTCCTGCAGACTGCTATTACTTACACTACTTCCTTAGCCCAGTAGAGTGGATTTTTCATAATATTTGGTACCTCCAAAAATGGGTGAGGTTGTGGAAACAAGAAGTATGTAGGGAAGAAAAACTGCATAAAAACCTAGAATTTTCAGCTACATAAACTAGAGTCTGTGGGTTGTGAGTTTTTTGTTATTGTTGTTGTTGCTGTTATTTGCCACCTTTTTCTCTTCCTAAGAAAAAAAAAATATCTTCATCACCTGGTAGATCCATTCAAAAGTTGTTCCTTATAAGCCCAAGAGAGATTCTGTTCATCTGCAGCCACTGAATACTACTTGAAAATTCTATCAAGTTGTATTCTAAAGCTCATCTTTGATAATGTCTTGGAGAGCTACTGCAGAGAGGCATGAACACATGTGAGCGCAGAAGAAACATATTAGTACTGTGACCATATTCTTCTGCATCAAAAAACACTTTCACCCTCGCATACATTCATCCAAACTTAAAATTTCCTTAAGCTTTGTGGAACAAGTTCAGACCAGATAATCAGTGATACTCTCATTATGAAATCTGACACCACATATACATTTTATACACTTCACCTACCCACTGTGGGATTTGCTGCATTTCAGTTGTCCACAACAAGTTTACTTTGCATGCTAAATCTAATTCTTAATGCTGTGAACAACTTTTCCTCTCTTACTCCAGATTAGGTTTGGTAATTACAAGATTTTTTTTTTTAATACCAGAATCCCTTAACTCCAGCAGTTCTTACTCACTTTAAGAATAAGAATATAAAATTCTGAAACTTGAAGGACTCAGCGGTATAAACTGATCACGTAAGATGTAAAGTTCTGGATATTCTCAATATATAACATAAGACAAAAAACCGCTTCTCATTTCTCATTTTCAGGAGGAGGAATTAAATTGTGGCAAAAGTCTCTAACAGCAGTGGATACACCAGCTCAAAAGTATTTGTCCACAGAACAGTTACTGGATCTTTAAAGAGGGTAACTCTCACCTTTTTATACTTTTGTTTCTTGCTGCAGACCTGGTAGTTCTTTTAGTAATGTTTGTACTGTCAGAAATGCTAGGTTCAGAGGTTTTATTTTTCTGAACACTGGACTGCAGAATTACTCTGAAAAGAGTAGGAAAAAAAAAGAGATTATATAACCTGAAAGTTTCTAGGAAAACACTGAAAAGAGGATATCACAATTTCAGCAAATCTAACAAGTAGTAGTGGGCCTTTCAATTTGAAAAGCAAACTG